CTAGTGACGCGTCCTGCCCAGGTCCTTTGAAACGTCTCAACGGTTGGGATGTATCTTTGTGTCTATCGATAATGTCTTTAACTTGTAAGGCGCCACGCAGAGGGGCGAGGAGGAACCACAGACAGGCGGGAAGGCAGGAACCAGGCGGTGAGCCAGCGCAACCAACAAACGGTTCAAGATCTGCGGTCCTCTCTCTATATGTTCAGTTTTTTTTATTGTATTTTACCAGGTAAGGCCCACGGAGCTATTGAGCTATTTTCAGAAGCAATCCGGCTAATCATGTGTAATTTAATAGCAGCCCAATGCTCTGAATGCAGAGGGAAATGGCAAATGACCCGGAGAAAAATCCACGCGACCACGGGGAGAGAGACACGCAAACTCCAAATATACAGCAGCAGCAGCAGGCGTCGTCAGCGTCGTGGTCGGGATCGAACCCACGACCTCCTTCATACCAGGCGAGGGAGTTAACATCTCCTAGCCACCTCGGCACCCCTTCATTCTTCCTTTCCTTTACGTGGAAGGAAACCAGAACACCCGTGGTAAACAAACGCATGCGAGGGGGCAACACTCTATCCCATACACGTGGAGTCCGCATTTGCTGTACCGCATTCTCCCGGCAAAGCCGGGGTACGGCACCTCGACCGGCCACGGGATGTGCCGTGCCGACCGTCATAGGGTGCTCGCTCACAGCACTTGCCCCGACAGCCTGTTAAGGCTACACGGGGGATCTTTGTCTATGTGCCATCTTTGTCGTGCATTCGTTTTCTCTCAGGCCCTTGAGAATATTCAGTTTATTTTATTTTTCAGTTTATTTATTTTGGTATAGCCCTGTGAGCCATTCGGCTCTTGAATCGGGTGCAACCACAACAAACATAAACAAGAACACGAACAAGAATGTGATTTCAGCGTGCAGTCGGTGATCGATGGCCGGCGAGTGGTGTTGATTTTGTGTGCGTTTCATAACAAGACGCTCGTAAATCCGAATTGAATTACATTTGCTTATAAAATTGGATCTTTTTTTTGCAATGTCAAAGTATGAAAAAATAAGACTAGCTTTTACCCTTTCTGGCAATACAACAGGTGTGTTAAGATGCCGAAACACCAAATAGACACCTTTTGCAAGGAATCAAGTCTGCAATAACCACACGTTCTTTGTGGTGAACATGCAGACAAAACATGCTCTGATAATAATATATGCTGATAATAATATATGCATTGTATTTTGGCGTTCTCTGGTCTGATACTGGTGAGTTTTAAGCCCTATGAAGGCTGTCTGGTGTAGACCAATCAGTTTCAAGGACAATGCATCGCTTTTACATTATGAGACCTCCTTTGCCAGAAACAAGATATAGGAATAGGTTTTACCCTTTTAACTGGCACAAAAACTGACACCTTTATTCAAGGCATCCTGTTTGCAATAACCACAACACAAGCAGTCAAAATGCAAACAAAAAAGACAACTCTGATAATAATATGCACTGTCCTTGAATTTGATTGGTCCACACCCGAGACAGCTTTTCTTAGAGCCTAGTCTCCAATGGTGTTGCAAACATGATGCCTTGAATAAAGGTGTCAGTTTTTGTGCCAGTTAAAAGGGTAAAACCTATTCCTATATCTTGTTTCTGGCAAAGGAGGTCTCATAATGTAAATGCTCACCCCGAGCCCTCAATACTCTGATAGTGCGCTGTTTTTGAGTTGTACGCCTTTTGGCATCTTCTGGTCCAACACCAATGGAGACTAGGCTCTAAGAAAAGCTGTCTCGGGTGTGGACCAATCAAATTCAAGGACAGTGCCAATATCATTATCAGAGTTGTCTCTTTTGTTTGCATTTTGACTGCTTGTGTTGTGGCTATTGCAAACATGATGCCTTGAATAAAGGTGTCAGTTTTTGTGCCAGTTAAAAGGGTAAAACCTATTCCCAATTCATAGCTTATCAGAGCACGTTTTGTTTGCAAGTTCGCAAGTGCTGTGTGTGGTCAATGCAGTAACTTGATCTCTCGCAAAATGTTTCTATCTGGTGTTTGAACATCCCAACACCTCCTGCTTTATTGCCTCGTCTTATTTGTCTGCTAATGTTTATCACCGAGCTCTTGTGCATAACGCAAAGCATGCCAACAGTCCGTTTGTGGATTTTGTTTGGCAGGATGGTGGCATTTTTGTTGGTGGTTCTTGTTGTCGTTGTTGTTGAGGAATCTATGACGATTTCTTTGAAGTTGAAGGGCGGCGGTGGCGGCGGCGGCGGGGGGACTAAAAGAATGGGTCTCTCTTTTGAGATTAGAAATCGTTTAAAATCGTGGAGTGAGAAATGGTGCTCCCCCCCCCCCTCCTTTCACGTCAGCGACCACACTGACCTCGTGTGAATCATTCCATATCGGGGGGCGGGAGCGGTGAATCAAACGCCCTTTCTTTGATTAGCAGTAAGTCCCAAACTGGAAGTGCATGGCTTGGGAATAAACCACGAATCTCATTGTTGATCTACTGGCTTGAGACGGAGTAAATTGCTGGGTGTTGGTAATGATATTACACAGCCCTTTGTCAAACCCACCCCTGGATGAAGAAGGCTTTTGAAGGCAAAATACCAACAACAACGACCACAACAACAACAACAATAACAGAAGTTGTCTCGAGAAAAAGTCGCGGTGTCGATCACGTGACTGTAACATTGGTGTTGGTGATTCTGGTGCCGTCTGCTCGGGATGCGTCAATTTAATGGATTGCTTGTGTTGCCATCGAAACGTCGTGATTTATTATTTTATTTTTCTATCTACGTGGGCTTTACCGAAAGAGCCAAAGACTATGAATTCCTGCAGTCACGAAAGCTTCAAGTCAAGATCCAGGGTAGGGGGTGCATCTCGCGTTGACCACCAGCGGTTAGCGCTACGAACCCGGCGACCCGAGTTCGATTCCTGCTCACGGCCAGCACCATCGACGGCTATCTGAAACCGGTCCTGGGCATCCCCAAGGTCAACTCAGCCTCTGGGGAGACAAAGGCGGCCGGGCGAGAGTGCTGGTGGCCACGCGCGTGCCATTCCGACCTTCGCGGCTTGTTGCTCGCAAACAGAACTTGCCCTGACAGTGTACTTAGACTGCACGGGGGATTCTTTGTTTTTCTGTGCACATTCCCAGATTTGTCTACAGCAGTAACGATAGCAGGCGCAGGTGCGGTGGTTCTTCCTCCTGCTCCCTGGAGGGCCCTACAATAATCCTGCAGCAGGCGGGTTTTGCTGAGCGTCGGGAGCGCGATGTCTTCTTGGATGTTGTCTCGAGTCGTGGGACGTGCGTAGACATTTGACAAGATCCCCACACTGATTTCCTTGTTTCCTGGTGGAGGTGGCCCTGACACTTGGGACTTCTTGGGGTTGTTCTTCCCCTCGCCCGCCTCCCCGATATGTTGTTGTGTGTGGTGTGTTGTGTGTGGTGTGTTGTGTGTGTTGTGTGTGTGTTGTGTGTTGTGTGTGGTGTGTGTGGTGTGTGTGTTGTGTGTGTTGTGTGTGTTGTGTGTGGTGTGCGTGTTGTGTGTGTTGTGTGCGTGTTGTATGCGGTGTGCGTGTTGTGTGTGGTGTTTATTGTGTGTGTATGTGTGATGCGTGTGTGGTGTGTGTGTTGTGTGTGGTGTGTGGTGTGTGTGTTGTGTGTGGTGTGTGTGTTGTGTGTGGTGTGTGGTGTGTGTTGTGTGTGTGTTGTGTGTGGTGTGTGTGCGTGTTGTGTGTGGTGTGTGTGTTGTGTGTGTGTGGTGTGTATGTGTTGTGTGTGGTGTGTGTAGAGTGTTGTGTGTGTGTTGTGTGTGGTGTGTTGTGTGGTGTGTGGTGTGTTGTGTTGTGTGTGTTGTGTGTGTGTTATGTGTGTTGTGTGTGGTGTGTGTTGTGTGTGTGTGTGTTGTGTGTGGTGTGTGTTGTGTGTGTTGTGGGTGTGTGTGTTGTGTGTGTGTGTTGTGTGGTGTGTGGTGTGTTGTGTTGTGTGTGTTGTGTGTGTGTTATGTGTGTTGTGTGTGGTGTGTGTTGTGTGTGTGTGTGTTGTGTGTGGTGTGTGTTGTGTGTGTTGTGTGGTGTGTGGTGTGTTGTGTTGTGTGTGTTGTGTGTGTGTTATGTGTGTTGTGTGTGGTGTGTGTTGTGTGTGTGTGTGTTGTGTGTGGTGTGTGTTGTGTGTGTTGTGGGTGTGTGTGTTGTGTGTGTGTGTTGTGTGTGTGTGTTGTGTGTGTGTGGTGTGTGTTGTGTGTGTGTTGTGGGTGTGTGTGTTGTGTGTGGTGTGTGTGTGTGTTGTGTGTGGTGTTTGTGTGTGGTGTGTGTGTTGTGTGTGGTGTGTTGTGTTGTGCGTGTGTTGTGTGTGTGTTATGTGTGTTGTGTGTGGTGTGCGGTGTGTGTGGTGTGTGTGTGTTGTGTATGTGTGTTGTGTGTGGTTTGCGTGTTGTGTGTGGTGTGTTGTGTGTGTGTTGTGTGTGGTGTGTATGTGTGGTGTGTGTAGTGTGTTGTGTGTGTGTGTTGTGTGTGGTGTGTTGTGTGTGTGTTATGTGTGTTGTGTGTGGTGTGTGTGTTGTGTGTGTGTTGTGTGTGGTGTGTTGTGTTGTGTGTGTGTTGTGTGTGGTGTGTGTGTGTGGTGAGTTGTGTGTGTTGTGTGTTGTGTGTGTGGTGTGTGTGTGTGTGTGTTGTGTGTGTTGTGTGGTGTGTGTTGTGTGTGTGTTGTATGTGGTGTGTGTGTGTGTTGTGTGTGTTGTGTGTTGTGTGGTGTGTGTTGTGTGTGTGTTGTATGTGGTGTGTGTGCGTGTTGTAGTGTGTTGTGTGTGGTGTGTGTGTTGTGTGTGGTGTGTTGTGTGGTGTGTGTGTTGTGTGTGGTGTGTGTGTGTGGTGTGTGTGGTGTGTGTGCGTGTTGTGTGTGGTGTGCGTGTTGTGTGTGGTGTGTGTGTTGTGTGTGTTGTGTTGTGTGTCAAGAGGCGGCCCGCAATAATTTCATTATTTATTTTTCGGGGTGAAAGCTGACAGTTGCCGCGACTTGTCGCGGGCGGAGTCGCACACAGCCGCAGCAGCAGCAGGCATCCGCTCGGTGTTATTCCGGGATCCTTTTGTTTCAGAGCTCCGGCATTATTGGTGGTCCCACCAAGGAGGTGCTGGGTTTTTTGACTTCCCACCAGGACAGGGGGCAGGGGGTTGTACACGGCTCGACGGGGCTGGCCGGCTTGCTGGCTGCTAGGAGGAGGAGGAGGTCCTGCAGCAGGATTCTGTGTGATTTAGTCACGAGATAAGGACCCAGCTTTTTATTTACACAAACAGGAAAGACGCACTTCCCACACACCCCCCCTCCACTCCCCCACGCCACGCCGTTGATCCACGGACGACATCGGGGCAGGCTTCTAAGGCGCGACTCTTAAATTCGCCAGACGCAGGACGGATCGGACAGTGGTGGGGAACTTGTAGGGAGCAGCCGGGGTTGCCTGGGCAGGTCGCGGTTTGTTCACCAGCGCTTTGATCGTGGCCGAGACACAGGTAGCCAGCGAGCAGGGAGAGCGCGTTACAACAGCAAGAACAACGATTGCATGCGGCGAGGGAGACGAACGGCGACATTAATGCCTGGCCAACTGCAGATATTCGTGTCCCAGAAATTGCCCAGTTTTGGAAAGGCGGAGAAGTGTGTCAAGATGGCTTTGGGAGGACCGCGCAATTACAAGGTTCGTTACGACCGCAGTTTGCACTTTGGGGCAGGTTTGTTCTGCATGCGGAGACAAATCCGAGTGGTAAATGCCAGGGCACGTGTGCGCGGTGCGTGTAGTCTTGGTTCGAATGAACGTTCATTCTGTTGTTAGATATGCGATGTGTAGGTCTGTGTGTGACACCTGTGTTACAGAAAAAAGGCACGTAGGAAGAGAGGTGTTGCCACGGTGGCTAGGAGATGTTAACTACCTCGCCCGGTATACAGGAGGTCCTGGGTTCGATCCCGACCCTTACGCCTGCTGCTGCATATTTGGAGTGTGCGTGTCTTTCTTTCCGTGGTCGTGTGCATTTTTTCCCCGGGTCCTCCGGTTTTTTCCCTCCACATTTTAAAACGTGCGTTTAGACTATTTGACTGCTATACATTTTCACCCGATAAGCCGCTATGCTGAGCCATCATTTGTGACGGCCTGGTTCGCTTCTGGTTCGCTTCTGAAAACGAGCCATAGAGCCCAGTGGGCCTTATCTGGTAAAATGAAAATAGTTTTTTTTGTATCATTTATTTGCATCACTTTTTTGTTGTTGCTCTGAACCGCACTTCCCGTTTGGCCGTCGATTCTCGTGTTTGGTTGAACAATTACGACGTTACTGCTGCACCCACTGGTCCTGGTGTTTTACTCGAAGGGCTCCGTGTCGATGTGAACGTGTTTGTTACCCCGGGGGGTCATCGCAGTTGCGAGGAGAGAACGCCGACGCCTCTAACCGCTGTTTTTTTTATATGACTTCTCTTTCATGATGTCCTTTCGGAGAGACACCTGATAACAGACAGCGAGACTATGAATTATAATTATATTTTTGAATGTCATTTATTCCATTTTAAGGCCACTTAAAATCCAATGAAACCTGCAGATAGGACAACTCAATGTACGCATGTTGCAGCCACTTTATCAACACACTGCCAACGTGTGCGTCATGGGGGTTATTGACCATACCTCACCGCGCCGGTCAGTGCTAGTTGGTGAAAGCGAGGAGCATAGACGCGGGGCGGGGGGGTGTCACAGAAGTGCAGTACAACAATAGATTTTGCTGCAAACTGTCGCCTGCTGATAACCACAAATCCTTCGCAGCCTATACGCAACCTGCGGCCCATGTTGGTCGCCCATCCGAGCAGCGATCAAAGGCCACGCATTGCTGAGCTCTTGACGTGAATTTCGCCATGGGCAGGAGAACTCAACGGATACTGGGAAACAGAGTCCAGAGGGAAGTGTGATGTGGGTGGAAATGGAGCCGAACACTAAGCGGGGGAAAATGAGGACTCTGGATCAGAAAGAGTTCCAATTCCTCTCTGTACACGTAAGCCACGGTTGCATGTGTGAATGTTGAACGTCTTTCGCACCGTGCGTAGCCAACCGTACGAATCGGAGGTGTGCGGGTTGGCTACGTACGGTGCGAAAGAAGTTTAATGTACGTACGTTGCAGCGCAGAGGGCGTAATGACACAAGGCTGGGCACATAATCACATAATCTGGCGGATATGATGTGGCACAGAGTCACGAAGGCTGATGACTCAAGCTCAGTCTCTGTTGAATACTGTGAGCATATTTAAATGGAAAGTATGGCTACGCTGTACTGTATTTAATGTATACTATACATTAAATGCATGAATGGGTTTTAGTCAGATAATAAAACGTATGATGAATGTTGAACTTCTTTCGCACCGTACGTAGCCAGCCGTGCTCATCGGAGGTGGTATTATTAAATTACTTTATATATGTTATTTGGGTCTTTCGGTAAAGTCACGTAGATAGGTTCAAAGAAAATAGCAAAAAAACTACGACGTTTCGATCGCAAAAATATATATATTTTGTTATGTTTTTTTTAACCTATCTACGTGACTTTACCGAAAGACCCAAAGAATATTAATTCCTGCAGTCACAAAAGCTTGAGGTCAAGATTTACTTTATATATGCACTTGATTATGTCATTGGTAGAGGTGGCTCAGCTGCATTAGGTATCACAGCAGTCGCTGAGAACCTGGGTTCAAGTGTGGCCAACGACCCGTGATTAAATCACGACCCGTGATTTAAACCACGACCCGTGATTTAAACCACGACCCGTGATTAAACCACGACCCGTGATTAAATCACGACCCGTGATTTAAACCACGACCCGTGATTTAAACCACGACCCGTGATTTAAACCACGACCCGTGATTAAATCACGACCCGTGATTTAAACCACGACCCGTGATTTAAACCACGACCCGTGATTTAACCACGACAGCTCATCAAGTGGAGGGTGTTGGTGGCCTCTCCCAGAAACTGCAACAACTAAAAAGGGCCAGTTCTGAGAAATGAAACTTTTGGCTTGACTGACACGTAACACAGAGTTCTCTTCTGGGTATTTATAAAACAATATTTCCTCCTTGTGTGGCTAAAAGATGGTGATTTAAAGTGACATTGTGTAGTTCAGTGATGTCATCTTCCTGCACAATTCTCTAATGCAGTGTGACAACACTGCTGTTTGAAAACTTCGAAATGGAAATTTGTGCATTCTCATCGGGTGAAACCGATAGCAAAAGTGGAATGTAATTTGTCAATGAAAATAATACATTAATGTATTTGATTAGCACATCATGCAATGAATTTTACAGAAGACGAACATCGATGCGGGGTTTAGGTACGGCATACTAAAGTGGATGGATATTCTGAAACATTTGAAAATTAGCAAAACCATTTGAGACCAAAATTAAATCAAAGTAAATAAGACAAATAAGAGGCCAAGTATTGCGGAGGTCATCTATTTAAATAGCTTTTTTGTTGAAATGGTTTTAGAAAAAAATATTTAAAGAAAGCTGTGGCTTTTATCATCACAAACTATGATGGGATGTAACATTTATAAGTCAAGGATAAGTAATGTCCCACTGCATTTCAACAGCAGCATGAAACGTCACGCTGAAGATGCGTTAAATGTGTGGATGCGGACGGGTGCCGCGGGCTTAGCTGTCACCTTTAAAGTGGCTTAACCCCACGCATGTTTATACGTTTTCTTCTAAACGTGGGCCTGAGGCAATAAACCAACTTTCTAATTCTAATTCATGTGAGACCACTCATGCAAACGGTGTTTTTCATGTCTCTCGGAACGGAGCCAGCCAGGTGGCTCCATGGTAGAGCTAGCGGCTCGCAATTGGGAACGTTGGCGAGTTCAACATCTGGTTTGAAGATTGACTCAGCCAATCACCGCTCGGGGGTCGATGACGAACCGCTGCGGGAAGAAGTCGACAGCGTTTTTCCGCTGGATCGACTCGCCGACCTTCGTAGAGGAACGTGGAATTTCCGCCACTTGCTCACGAGCTGTACAAGGGGAAGGAGGCCACGCGTGTTTCAATGCTCATTTGAGCAGGGACCCATTTTGACTCTGATGGAGCGGAAACTCGTGCCATTTTTGGTGAAGTAATGTCCCCTGGGTGTGCGCGGCACACACCGGCAAGGATAGTTGGGGCGAGGCGGGGGATTGGCGTACTGCGAGAGCCTCAACTGGCTTAGGCCACGGGATGACCGGTAGGAGATCGCGGTTCCGAAGCTGCGATCGCAACCCATCTGTGTAGGTTTGTTGCGTGTGTTATCCCATCATCTAAAGCGCGGGTTTCCTCTGGGTGCCCTGGCTTCCTCCCACGTGTGCACAAAAAACAGAAACCTCATTAAGCGGGAGCCGGATAAACATTGCAATGCAGAAATTGCCTGCAAAAATGAAAATGGTCTTGACACTCAGTGATATTTTCTGGAAGAAATGAAGGACCACTTTTAATTGGCTATTGGGCAACTGAGTTGTTCCACATCGTGAATTCTCACGCACTGGCGACTCAGAACGTCTCAGTATTGCTGAATTGGACTTCAAAGAGGCATGAAGCGGTTCACTCCGTAGGTGACACTGAAGTCAGATACACTGAAGTAGGAGACACTGAAGTAGTAGACACTGAAGTAGGAGACACTGAAGTAGTAGACACTGAAGTAGGAGACACTGAAGTCAGAGACACTGAAGTCAGAGACACTGAAGTCAGAGACACTGAAGTAGGAGACACTGAAGTAGGAGACACTGAAGTAGGTGACACTGAAGTAGGTGACACTGAAGTAGGAGACACTGAAGTCAGAGACACTGAAGTCAGAGACACTGAAGTCAGAGACACTGAAGTAGGAGACACTGAAGTAGGAGACACTGAAGTAGGAGACACTGAAGTCAGAGACACTGAAGTAGGAGACACTGAAGTCAGAGACACTGAAGTCAAAGACACTGAAGTAGTAGACACTGAAGTAGGAGACACTGAAGTCAGTGACACTGAAGTAGGAGACACTGAAGTAGTAGACACTGAAGTCAGAGACACTGAAGTAGGTGACACTGAAGTAGTAGACACTGAAGTAGGAGACACTGAAGTCAGAGACACTGAAGTAGGAGACACTGAAGTCAGAGACACTGAAGTAGGTGACACTGAAGTAGGAGACACTGAAGTAGGAGACACTGAAGTCGGAGACACTGAAGTAGGAGACACTGAAGTAGGAGACACTGAAGTCAGAGACACTGAAGTAGGAGACACTGAAGTAGGAGACACTGAAGTAGGAGACACTGAAGTCAGAGACACTGAAGTAGGAGACACTGAAGTAGGAGACACTGAAGTAGGAGACACTGAAGTCAGAGACACTGAAGTAGGAGACACTGAAGTCGGAGACACTGAAGTCAGAGACACTGAAGTCAGAGACACTGAAGTAGGAGACACTGAAGTAGGAGACACTGAAGTAGGTGACACTGAAGTCAGAGACACTGAAGTCAGAGACACTGAAGTAGGAGACACTGAAGTCAGAGACACTGAAGTCAGAAACACTGAAGTAGGAGACACTGAAGTCAGAGACACTGAAGTAGGAGACACTGAAGTAGGAGACACTGAAGTCAGAGACACTGAAGGCAGAGACACTGAAGTAGGAGACACTGAAGTCAGAGACACTGAAGTCAGAGACACTGAAGTCAGAGACACTGAAGTAGGAGACACTGAAGTCAGAGACACTGAAGTAGGAGACACTGAAGTCGGAGACACTGAAGTCAGAGACACTGAAGTCAGAGACACTGAAGTAGGAGACACTGAAGTAGGAGACACTGAAGTCAGAGACACTGAAGTCAGAGACACTGAAGTCAGAGACACTGAAGTCAGAGACACTGAAGTAGGAGACACTGAAGTAGGAGACACTGAAGTCAGAGACACTGAAGTCAGAAACACTGAAGTAGGAGACACTGAAGTAGGAGACACTGAAGTCAGAGACACTGAAGTCAGAGACACTGAAGTAGGAGACACTGAAGTAGGTGACACTGAAGTAGGAGACACTGAAGTAGGAGACACTGAAGTAGGAGACACTGAAGTCAGAGACACTGAAGTAGGAGACACTGAAGTAGGAGACACTGAAGTAGGAGACACTGAAGTAGGAGACACTGAAGTAGGAGACACTGAAGTAGGTGACACTGAAGTCAGAGACACTGAAGTAGGAGACACTGAAGTAGGAGACACTGAAGTAGGAGACACTGAAGTAGGAGACACTGAAGTAGGAGACACTGAAGTCAGAGACACTGAAGTAGGAGACACTGAAGTCAGAGACACTGAAGTCAGAGACACTGAAGTAGTAGACACTGAAGTAGGAGACACTGAAGTCAGTGACACTGAAGTAGGAGACACTGAAGTAGTAGACACTGAAGTCAGAGACACTGAAGTAGGTGACACTGAAGTAGTAGACACTGAAGTAGGAGACACTGAAGTCAGAGACACTGAAGTAGGAGACACTGAAGTCAGAGACACTGAAGTAGGTGACACTGAAGTAGGAGACACTGAAGTAGGAGACACTGAAGTCGGAGACACTGAAGTAGGAGACACTGAAGTAGGAGACACTGAAGTAGGAGACACTGAAGTAGGAGACACTGAAGTAGGAGACACTGAAGTAGGAGACACTGAAGTCAGAGACACTGAAGTAGGAGACACTGAAGTAGGAGACACTGAAGTAGGAGACACTGAAGTCAGAGACACTGAAGTAGGAGACACTGAAGTCGGAGACACTGAAGTCAGAGACACTGAAGTCAGAGACACTGAAGTAGGAGACACTGAAGTAGGAGACACTGAAGTAGGTGACACTGAAGTCAGAGACACTGAAGTCAGAGACACTGAAGTAGGAGACACTGAAGTAGGAGACACTGAAGTCAGAGACACTGAAGTAGGAGACACTGAAGTCGGAGACACTGAAGTCAGAGACACTGAAGTCAGAGACACTGAAGTAGGAGACACTGAAGTAGGAGACACTGAAGTCAGAGACACTGAAGTCAGAGACACTGAAGTCAGAGACACTGAAGTCAGAGACACTGAAGTAGGAGATACTGAAGTAGGAGACACTGAAGTCAGAGACACTGAAGTCATAAACACTGAAGTAGGAGACACTGAAGTAGGAGACACTGAAGTCAGAGACACTGAAGTCAGAGACACTGAAGTAGGAGACACTGAAGTAGGTGACACTGAAGTAGGAGACACTGAAGTAGGAGACACTGAAGTAGGAGACACTGAAGTCAGAGACACTGAAGTAGGAGACACTGAAGTAGGAGACACTGAAGTAGGAGACACTGAAGTAGGAGACACTGAAGTAGGTGACACTGAAGTCAGAGACACTGAAGTAGGAGACACTGAAGTAGGAGACACTGAAGTCAGAGACACTGAAGTCAGAGACACTGAAGTAGGAGACACTGAAGTAGGTGACACTGAAGTAGGAGACACTGAAGTAGGAGACACTGAAGTCAGAGACACTGAAGTCAGAAACACTGAAGTAGGAGACACTGAAGTAGGAGACACTGAAGTCAGAGACACTGAAGTCAGAGACACTGAAGTAGGAGACACTGAAGTAGGAGACACTGAAGTAGGAGACACTGAAGTCAGAGACACTGAAGTAGGAGACACTGAAGTAGGAGACACTGAAGTAGGAGACACTGAAGTAGGAGACACTGAAGTAGGAGACACTGAAGTAGGAGACACTGAAGTCAGAGACACTGAAGTAGGAGACACTGAAGTAGGAGACACTGAAGTAGGAGACACTGAAGTAGGAGACACTGAAGTCAGAGACACTGAAGTAGGAGACACTGAAGTCAGAGACACTGAAGTCAGAGACACTGAAGTAGTAGACACTGAAGTAGGAGACACTGAAGTCAGTGACACTGAAGTAGGAGACACTGAAGTAGTAGACACTGAAGTCAGAGACACTGAAGTAGGTGACACTGAAGTAGTAGACACTGAAGTAGGAGACACTGAAGTCAGAGACACTGAAGTAGGAGACACTGAAGTCAGAGACACTGAAGTAGGTGACACTGAAGTAGGAGACACTGAAGTAGGAGACACTGAAGTCAGGAGACACTGAAGTAGGAGACACTGAAGTAGGAGACACTGAAGTAGGAGACACTGAAGTAGGAGACACTGAAGTCAGAGACACTGAAGTAGGAGACACTGAAGTAGGAGACACTGAAGTAGGAGACACTGAAGTAGGAGACACTGAAGTCGGAGACACTGAAGTCAGAGACACTGAAGTCAGAGACACTGAAGTAGGAGACACTGAAGTAGGAGACACTGAAGTAGGTGACACTGAAGTCAGAGACACTGAAGTCAGAGACACTGAAGTAGGAGACACTGAAGTAGGAGACACTGAAGTCAGAGACACTGAAGTAGGAGACACTGAAGTCGGAGACACTGAAGTCAGAGACACTGAAGTCAGAGACACTGAAGTAGGAGACACTGAAGTAGGAGACACTGAAGTCAGAGACACTGAAGTCAGAGACACTGAAGTCAGAGACACTGAAGTCAGAGACACTGAAGTAGGAGACACTGAAGTAGGAGACACTGAAGTCAGAGACACTGAAGTCAGAAACACTGAAGTAGGAGACACTGAAGTAGGAGACACTGAAGTCAGAGACACTGAAGTCAGAGACACTGAAGTAGGAGACACTGAAGTAGGTGACACTGAAGTAGGAGACACTGAAGTAGGAGACACTGAAGTAGGAGACACTGAAGTCAGAGACACTGAAGTAGGAGACACTGAAGTAGGAGACACTGAAGTAGGAGACACTGAAGTAGGAGACACTGAAGTAGGTGACACTGAAGTCAGAGACACTGAAGTAGGAGACACTGAAGTAGGAGACACTGAAGTAGGAGACACTGAAGTCAGAGACACTGAAGTCAGAGACACTGAAGTAGGAGACACTGAAGTAGGTGACACTGAAGTAGGAGACACTGAAATAGGAGACACTGAAGTAGGAGACACTGAAGTCAGAGACACTGAAGTCAGAGACACTGAAGTAGGAGACACTGAAGTAGGAGACACTGAAGTAGGAGACACTGAAGTAGGAGACACTGAAGTAGGAGACACTGAAGTAGGTGACACTGAAGTAGGAGACACTGAAGTAGGAGACACTGAGATATTCGATGTCAGCCTCTGAACGCGTGCACTTGAGAAATGTTGTTGCTGTTTTGCTCCGCACTGCGTGTCGCTTTGCCTCCTCCTAGTCACGCTCTCCGTTATGGAAACAGCACATGTCCCTGAGGGATTGAGTAATGGGATCCGTTACTGTACGAGGATGTTTATTGTATTCCGATGTTTAGATTTTGCGGTGCGTTTTCTTTGCCGTGAAAAATATATTTAAGTTACGGATGGAAATACTGTTTGGAATAACAAAATTAGAATGTAACAGACACAACGAAGATGTATAGAACCATAACTGATTAGATGCGTGTACTTTAAAAAGTCAGACACAGACACATTGTTGTTTTCTTGTTAAACTGTTAATTACCCTCATTTAAATTTAGAGGGGGGAAATGGAACTATTCATAACTTGAATGTAAAATGTGAAATAGAATCATGTAGTTTTTGAACTAAATTTTTTTAAGCCAGACATCTAAAGATGGTTGCTTTTTTATACTAATAATTGACTGTTATTACGAAGTAACTTCCCTCTGTTAAACGGCCAAACTTAGTCGCTTACGGTGGAATGGTTCAGATGTCATGAGAATCTGCTCTTGAAACTCCACGTCTGCCCACATGGCCGTGCATGGCGAGGTATTTTATAACGCGCGTCCTGCTTTTAGAGTAACCGTGCATCACGGTAGCATTGCTGAAGTCCTCTCGCCAAGGCAACGCCATCGCTGGCGCGATATATATAAAAAAGCCATTTTCTTGTTGATGTTGTTGTTGTTTTCGTATTATTGCAAAAAAAAGACACGACGCGCGATATTGACACGGTGTGAGCTGTCACGGCTGACTCAGCCCGTGTCTCGACAGGACCTGCTGTACGAGGAGGTGGTCTACTCCACCATCCACCAGCTGAACGTGTCGCAGACCGACGCCTCTCACCTCCTGGGCTTCCTCCAGCAGGTACGGTGGTACACCACCACGTGTGCGAACACACGTGTATGTGTGTGTGTGTGTACGCACGTATGTTGAACTTCTTCCGCACCGTACGTGAACAACCGTGGTAATCGGAGGTGTGGGGAAAGGACAACAAACTAAACACAAAAAAATCGGTTCTAAAGAAATTCGTTTTCAATCTATATGTGCGTAGTTTCGGTGGCTTTCAAATATCGGAAGGAAGAGCGTTCAAGAAGGCGGCAAAAGTGCATCTGAAAGGGCTCGTTGCAGTGACCGTGTTTGTTCGATGGCTAGCCAAAAGCTGCTGTGGCACGGCTACAGCAGAGGCACGTGACACACGAATTTCACAGAGTCAACCCCACTCTTTAACTTCGAGGGCCCACGGAGATTCAACATCAAGCCGAGGGCAAGAGGTCATCGTGACCACCACTATCGACGCCAAAGACAAAGATCCCCCGTGTAGCCTTAACAGGCTGTTGGGCCAAGTGCCGTTAGCGAGCACCTATGAATTCTAGATTTGAAGCTTTCGTGACTGCAAGGATTCATACTCTTTGGTTTTTTCGGTAAAGTCACGTAGGTAAAATAAAATAAATTAAAATAAAAGAAAACAATTAAATCACGACTTTTCGGAGGCAACGCAAGCTCCAGTCTTCAGGTGGAACAGTCACAGCAAGATCGCTGCATCAAGTGGGGAGGCTCTGAGAGCCTCGAGCTTAAATACAGGTTAAGGGGGGGGGGAGGGAGGAGCCAAGTAGAGGACATTGATGGGGTGCGGGGCTAAGTTAATCCGTCTTTTGTTATGTTGAGGGTGCGGGGGATGCGGTGGGTCACTGCACGGGGGCAATGGAAAAATGGAAACAAAAATGGAAAAGTTCGGAAAGAATATGCTGTGCGCTTATAAGGTAGCTAAAGTTTTGACTTGCTTTATGACATCTTTCCAGCGGTTGCTTAATTTAAAACCATCCTCTCGGTTGAAGTTGTGTCTATGTTTGTATATCTAGATGGCTTCATGGACAAATCTTTGGTAATAACCGGGAGGTTATTACCAAGCTTGGCACGGCAAACGAGGGAGTGGGTAGCTAGCACCATACCCGACCACCTTCTGTCTCCCCAGTAGCGATGTTTTTACACACCGCACCATGTACTCATTTGAGGCTGAGTCGACCGAGGGGAGGCCCATCACAGGTTCAGATAATCGTCACTGGTGTTGTCCGTGAGCGGGAATCTAACTCGGGTCAACGGGTCCATAGCGCAGCGTAGCGCTATCCGCTATCCTACCACGCACGCACACATACACGTCGCCATCACTCGCCTCCTTCTGCCAGATCATGCCGCTTGTTTCACGGTTGACACCCGCCCTCCGTGTGTGTCCTTGCAATGCAGGTGTTCGGTAAGAGCCCGTCGGAGCACTTGGCCCTGGTGCAGCGTGTGCGAGAGATGGCAAAGGTGAGGGTCGCCTTTCAAGACACTGTCCACAATCAATCGATAGAATCAGAATATTTAGTTATCCTGCAGGAATCCGATGAGCTATAAAGCTACTGGTTTAGGACTGCGAATGTAAAATGTGTAGCATGCCGTGGATACTTTGTCTTTAGCGTTCGTATTAAAAACGTGCGTTAAGATTATTTTGCTGCTTAGAAATTCCCACGTGATAAGCTACTTCCTTGAGAAATCATTCGTGACCAGGTCGCTTCTGAAAAGCTCATTGGGGTCCTTCCTGCTGAAAACAAAAAAATAAATCTAAAAATCTACCCCTTGCCCATAACTGTAGTCAACCCAGCAGCAATTTGTTGGAGATAGGTCATACTCTCCTGACGATACTCAAAAAGTGAAAAACGGTCGTGGGGTTTTGCTGCTTTAACAAATACTTCTAAATATCCTTATCTCAGAAAACCCATGCTATGCTATCCAGGTTATTTACATCCATGACTATAAAAACAGCATATTCTGAAATGTTCATATTGGAGACATAATGGTTTCAGCTTCACGATTATCCGTTTAAGATTTGCTGACAATACGGTTCATGATATATCAAGCATAACAATGCAACGACGTGGGAAACATTGGTGGAGGGTTTTGAACCTGCCATCCGTAAAATAAACACCATCGATATCGATAGTGTGTAGCTTTTAGCTGGACACGATTTTTAATGGCATACATAAACCACTCTGAAATGCCCTCGTCGCTGGCTAATGTGCAGGCACAACACCAAACAGCGATCAAAGCGCGAATCCCTTTGTCAGCGTTGTCCTTTGTGCGAGCTGAACGGTGCGTGTCATTGTGTGTTCCTCCTACAGCCGCCCGTCCACATGCTGAAGGTCACCGTGTTTGAGGCCACTGACCTGACGCCCAAAAATTTGGACGGTGAGTGATGGACAACGCGGTAAGGGCCGTGGCACGAGGCCGCTTGCGATCGCACGTCCACAGATTTCCACGTCTCCGTGTGAAGCGAATCGCACCGACTCTCAATGATCGCATCTGCCTGAGGGCCCCCCCTCACTACCCTAAACCAGCCCTGGGTACAAACCCTCGGCCCTTACCTACTACCCCTCTGGCTCTCGAGAGGCAGGGTCCCCTTGGGGGCCCTATGGCTGGTGGATGCCGCTGCCGCCGCTGCTGCTGCTGCTGCGTGTGCAGGATCCAGCGGTGGGGTAGCGGCGAGCGCTACGCTGCGCTACGAACCCGGCGACACGGGCCTCCCCTAGGTCGACTCAGCCTCGAATGAGTACCTGGTGCGGCGTGCAGTGAACGTGGCCACTGGGGAGACAAAGGCGGTCGGGCGTGGCGCTGGCCACTCCCACCCCCGTCGTGTGCCGTGCCGGCCATTGAAAGAAGTGCTGCTCGCTCACGGCACTTGCCCCAACAGTCTTCTCGAGGGTTACCTGTGGGGGTGTTTTTGTTCTTTTGCAGGCTCCAGCAATCCGTACTGCACCGTGGGCCTGGCGCTGGGCGCCGACGCCGAGCGCTGCAACCGCGAGTTCTCCTCCTCGGAGTCGCTCCTCGAGAGGCTCCCGGACCGGACAGACACGCTGCTCCAGACGCTCAACCCCGTGTGGGACGCCGTCTTTCACATGTACGACGGCTACCCTCCCTCCTGCCCGCCCCGTCCCTCATCCCCTCATCCCCTCATCCCCCCCCCCAATCCTCCCTCCCACTCCTCCCCCCACACCCCCCATGCCTCATCCACCCCCCCCCCCCCATCCCTCCTCGCCCCCTATATGTGTGAAATCTCTGATCGATTATTTCATGGGGTGTCCCGATTGTATCATGTTACAGCGGCCTCTCTCTCTCCGCCGCCTTCCCTTGTAGAGAGGAAATCCGTCCGGGGCGATCCGACGGTTTTGCGCGTTCAAATCGTGGTTTGGAGCTCGACTCTCCCCACCATAATCCCCTCTCTCTTGGATCGATAAAAATAAGAACCACTTTGTAGGGAAGTCAACAGTCATTGTGTGTGTGTTTTTTTTAGAGGATCACCCTCGTCATGGGAATGTGGAATGTCCCCCACTGGCTCAGGGCTGTAAACAGAAGAGAGCATCGTGGCAATGCTCATTTGAGCAGAGGATCACTTTGACTTTCACGGACAAAGATCCTCCATCCCTATAGCCCGTAACAGCCTGTTGGGGCAAGCGCTGTTAGCGAGCACCTATTAAGGCCAGCACGGCACGCGAGGAAACGGTGTGGCCAACACCACGCCCGGCCGCCCTTGTCTCCCCCGTGCCGATGCTTACACACCACACCAGGTACTCATTTTGAGGCTGAGTAAACGTAGGGAGTCTTTCTCCGTATTGCGTTCATTAATAAAAGACGCATCGTTTCCCCCGTGACGGTCGGCTGTTTTGTATAACGCCTTGCGGTCGCGTTCATGTGCCCCCACAAATTCCCACTGCTATTTGTACGCTCGCTATCTGGCCCGTTCCCCTTAACTACTTGATAACGGGCTCAGACAATTCCAGCGCTGCTTGCTCGATCGAGCCACTTCTTTGCCTGCTATCCCGAGACGTTCATTTGAAGTATCCTCTAGTTTCATTATTTTAGCTGCAGCCAAGTAACCCACGTGTCACAGGACCCGCGGCACCAGCAACTTGTTCATCATTTTATTGGAGCTGGTGCGATTATTTTTGGTGTCGTTGTTATTCTAGATTTGCAGCTTTCGTGACTGCTAGGATCCATACTCTTTGGTTCTATTGGGTAAAGTCACGTAGGTGAAAATAAAATAACAAAAAATCACGACGTTTCGGCCACAACACAAGCGGCCTTCATCAGGTGAAGGGACGAGACTGTCTGGAGGACAGCGCTGGAGGACTGTCTGGAGGACAGTGCTGTCCTACCAGACAGTCTCGTCCCTTCACCTGATGAAGGCCGCTTGTGTTGTGGCCGAAACGTCGTGATTTTTGTTATTTTATTTTTTTACCTACGCGACTTTACCCAATAGAACCAAAGAGTATGTTGTTGTTATTCTTTAAAACGAGCCTGCTTTTTTCTTCAGTGGTTTTGAGCTCTTGATTCGAGCACACAGCCCACGGCTGACAACAGTGTTGCACCACTGTTGCTTCTCGCAGGAGGATCGATGATGTGAAGACCGATGTCCTGACGTTGTGCGTGTGGTAAGCGGCACAACCTACTCTACCTTCCCCATCTGACCCGTCTTCAGAACTGTTCATTACGGCCCTACCTATAATTGACCCTTTGCTAATATATATTAAATACATGGAAAAAAAAACCAAACACATTCATCAAGAAAAATATGAGAAACGTATATAATCATCTCAATAGCATATGTGCTATGAATAAGAGCCGTGAAAAAATGGGACCTTTTTTGCCAATATCAAAGGATGAAAAAATAATAAAAGGTTTTTACCCCTCGCTGGCAATAAAACAGGAGGTGTTAAGATGTTCAAACACCAAATAGAAACATTGTGCAAGGCACCAAGTCTGCATTAACCACACACAGCACCTGTGGTGAAACATGCCTTCGAAAGCACCCTGGAAAGGGCACTAATTAAATCCGAACTAGAATAGAATGCCAGAAAGGGTAAAAACCTCATCTTATTCTTTTTTTTTTGCACAAATTTGATATTTATTTGGTTCTTTCAAGGCCACGGTGTTGTTGACGAAGGTATTCAGGTTGTATTTGTTGTGCCAGTGCACCACTGCCGAGGCAGGAGGGGCATCATCATCATCATCAAACACTGTGTTTCACATTGCATTGCAGATTTATTCAGCACTGCTACCAATTATCAATGCCTGGCCAGCATGGAAGAGTAGGCCAATTACCCCATAGATTCACCTTCAGTGGAGACCCCTCTGCCAGCAGTGGCTGAACAAGAAATTTAAAGGCTGCGGCTTTACCCATGACCAATGAGAAACAAACGTTCTTAAAAGCTTTTGTCTGCTTCAGTCTCAAACCAATAATTAAATTATGTAAATGTGTACAACCTACAGATAAGTGACCATTAGATTGTAATAATAATCATGATCATACAATTTACATTTGGCTTGACAGGACATGCGCTTTTCCGTCATATTGGTGCGACATATTAGCAATGTGCATTGCCATAATAGTCCGTATTGTCTGCATAAATATTTACCTAAGCGTGATACAGAGTTTGCGTAAGCACCGCTTCCGCTCGGTGACATTTTTCACTGATGGGAAAACTGTGGGGCGAGTGATGCGATGAATGGGCACTGACGGGGGAGGCCAACGCAGCCCGATATAGCTCACAGTCACAATTTGTGTTGGCACATCTATTGTTCCCGTGCCACTGGGTGTGGTGAACAAGTGGCAGAGTGGAGCTCTGGCGCCAACCTCTCCACCGTGTCATGGGAAGTTAAAGTTGCACAGTCGCCACGCTTGTGAGACACAGCATGGGACCTGCTCGCCTAAGCAGCAGGAATTCATTCTTCAGTGCAACCGATAATCGTGCCATAATTATGGAGCAAACGCTGCCACCACGGAAGGCGCTGCTATGTTTCGCAGACGCAGTCTGCAGTAGTTTCACAGCAGTGGGCGATGTTGCCACGTGTGTGTAGTCCCGATTGAGTCATTTGCGCCGCGGTGGCTAGGAGATGTTAATTATCTCGCCAGGTGTACAGGAGGTCGTGGGTTCGATCGCGACTCGACGCCTGCTGCTGTATATTTGGAGTTTGCGTGTTCTCCCCATGGTCGGGTGGATTTTTCTTCGAGTCCTCCGGTATTTAGGAACATGCTTTTAAGAGTATCTGGCTGCTATAAAATTCCACGTGATGAACAACTTCATTGAGCTTTTATTTGTGGTCAGGTCCCTTCTGAAAAAGAGCTACATAGCTCAGCTTTTTGTTAATTTGGAGTTAATCTTTCAAATTACGGACCGTGACGCCGGAACACAATGTATGGACTGCCCGTTTAAAATTACACGCGAGGATCCTTAACATGCACCATGAATAAGACGGCACGTATTTGACGGTTAATGCGCCTGCAGTGATAACCAGGGGGCGTCCCTGCCCTGGTTTGAACCACAACCTTTTGCAACGAGTGGTGAACGTGCTGCCGCTAGGAAATGTTTACAATGTTGAGGATGCAGTCGCTTGTTCAGGCACCTACTCAGAAATATAGTTGCCTTGATGTAGATCTCTTGCGTAGATAATCTCAGGGCTTCGTTTCAAACGGTCTCTGTCGGTTCTGTAACCCGGACAATATTTACACACCCAGCGCACCACATCAAGTATACATCTCACAATGGCTGTAGCTACTTGGCACATGCTGCGAGTGACCCAGCAAATATTGAGAAATGTATCCCAGACTATGTTGCATATATAACTCTCCTAAGGATATAAGCCAACCAGCATCAACTACCTATGGTAGTTGTGTCAGTGCAACCAGTGGAAGGGCAGCTCCCTTTGTTGGTTTGGCAGCAACTCATATATTTAGCCAGAAAAATTGACTTGGGATCGCAAGATTTAAGGCATCTAGTGAAGAGGCAGAAGGACAAACATCAACCAAGAGACGAGACAAAGGCGCGGGGGTTAGGGTCAGGGTTCGGACCGCTGGCAATGCTCTGTCACCGCCGTCTTGTTGTCTCACGTGACGCATTTCGCCTTCTGCCAGGAACGAGCACAACGACTCCTCCCTCATGCAGGACATCTCCAAGATCTCCTCGTGGCAGGGCGCCAAGACGTGAGTGCGAATGTCGCGCGAGCGGTGCGCACAAACCGCACCGTCGCCTCTGTGTCCTCGAAGCCGACGACGCGGCACAACGGACTGTGCGTTACACCACGGTCAAACTGAGACTCCACCAGATTTAAATGGCACGTTTACGCGCGGCGGTGCGTGCCGCACCGACGCACAACGTGCGTGGATAAGCGTCTGTCATGGGGGGCAGGTGACAAAGCCAATGCGCGAGGAGTGAGCTACATCTGAATACGAGTCACGTACGCTTCGGGTAGCGATGCAGCAAACGCGAGCGAGAGAAAGGAAAGAACGGGAACCTCCCCCCCCCCCCCCCGTCGAGGTGTTGATAGCACAACAAATCACCGAAGAGAGATCCGTTGACTCGGGATTAGAGTGACCATGGGAACCCACCATACCCCCGGATATTCCAAAAACGCAAAACCCTATTCCACCCCGACCCTTGGCCTCGAGGAGTAGCACGGCAGGAATCACTCAGCGACACGCGTGTCCCCCACCACCTCCGCCACCCCCCTGAGGACACGGATTCCCCTCTAAGCCTCGGGGGAAACCCGGAGAGGTCGAAAAGCCAGGGCGTTTTTGAGATCCCAGCCCTCGTGCCCTGCGGAGCGAGCCCACACTGGGCCCCCAAGGGAGCGCCGAGGGGAGAGAGCGACCGGAAGTTTCCACTCCCAATCCGCTCAGCTGCTGCCAGTGCTGGGGAGAACGATCTTGACTTTGCTATTCTCTTCCAGGGCCTGGTAAAGCTGAGAGCAAGGGCAGAAAGCAGTTAACGGATCCACAGGTGCACGGGAAAGACATCTGTAGACGGGAAACGACCGTGAATTAAAAATGGACTCGAGCGAGAGTCGAAAGGCGGTAACGTGATCTCGAACAAAACTTGGCCACGTATGCATCGTAAGCAGAGATATTAACAAAAAAACAAGTTACTTTTGCGTGTAATAATTTAACAAACGCCGTAACCCCGTGACCACCTTGTCACCAATCGTTTGCCATAACGGAACTGCTAACAGCTCTGATTGAAGCAATGCGCATTGTTAAATCTTATTTCAATTCAACGTGCATGTTTCACTGGGAATAACCGTTGCCACTGGTGGCGATGCGCCTGCGTCCAAGCGCTAGAATCACACCACCGTGGGATTATTTTTTTGAAACATTTTGTATAAAGCGGATTTAAATTTATCATTGCATCTTAACCGAGCGGCACCACCGGTCACGTGGCACCAGTCAGGTGGCACGTGCGCAATGTTGCGTCACCCCTCTTGCGCAGTGATCTTCACTAATTTTCAGAGGGGGGGGGGCGTGGGGGGCACGTTCGCAGATAAGTCATCGTCACTGTGAGGGCTGCCGCACGTTTGACACCATTGGGGTTTCACCGCAGCACGATGATGATGATGGGGGTGTTGTCACGTGTTGTGTATTATTGTTAGGGGCTGCACGTCACGGGCCGCACTAAAGTCCACCGGGGGCAGCCAGTGAAGAACACTGCCTCAAGTGATGTCTATCAGAGGCAGCGTTTTGCAAAAAGAAAATAAACTTCAGCGGTATATTTTGTGGACGAAAAGTGTTCTCATTGGGATGTGATAATATCCAGAACAAATATAATAACCCTTATCTGTGTTTGTTCTCGTGCGAGTGGGCCAACGGCTCAATCACCCATTACAAACGTCGAGCGTCCCGTAAGCTGAGCGTCAACACCGTGGATGCTTAATAAAGACACATCGGACCGACAGGAGATTAGGGCACAGCTATAACGTAAATATTGTTCCCCCAAAATCACACAGGGCATCACGCTCGCAACGATTTAGCCTGACCCCCACGTTTGGACGCGTTCTCAGAACTGAACATTTGCTTCACATATTTAGTCTTTGTTGTATAACATTTACATTACGGTGAATGAAACGGCCCCTGATGGCTGCAGAAGCTATGGCCAAGTAACCTCGTGCAACTCTTGCAGCAGCAACAAAGCAGCTTGACATCCAACGTCGTTGCGAGCAACAACCAGAGCAGCTGAACCACCAAAGAAGTCGTAATTATGACTTAATGGGGATGGGATGTGGTTCGGCAAAACGAGGAGGTAAAACCCTGAAGCACCGCTAATGGCCGACGGGGGAGGGCGCCACAATTAGACGCAAACTTGTTGTGAGACCCCCCAGCCCAGACTTAAAACGCGACGCGCCGCTGCGAAGCCGTTCCCCCCTGAGGCTCGGGAAAACTAGAACGCACGCACGTCTGTTGTTTCTCAGATTGAGCAAGAAAGTTGTCAAGAAGCTGAAGCGGTTGAGTTTCACCGAGGGACTCATAAAGCCAAAGCAAGAGGCCGACTTCCTGGGCCTTCTCAACCTCCCCGTGCGGGTGAGTGCATTTCCAGCGGAATATTTTCCAGGGCCACCCCCAGTCCTTAACCCTCCGAATCCGCCCCCCGTCTCCCCCCCCCCCCCCCGTCTCCATCTTCCTCGCCAAACCCCATGTCTGAACAGCTCCAGGCGAAACATAGTCCTGGTGACCACCGTAAACAACGCAAGAGTCGTATGTCACCATCACCACCACCAACACCACCAACACCACCACCACCACGTGTAGGTGACACCGCTGTACCTGCGTACCACTGGGTGGCTCTACGTCGTGTGGCCACGGTACAGACCCCGATGGTAAAGATCTTCATCGTGGGATTGCTTGAAACCACACGAACTACGACATCTCTGGGTGTAGAAGTTGAAATCCACCGGTTCAGATGTCACGCCGGAATTCTGCTGTCGGTGGCCGGGTATTCAACTGAGGCTGCCAGGTTCACGGTGCAGTGCTCAAACCGTAGTCCATTACACACCGCAGACTTACCCACCGTCGCTGCTACTTGCCCTCCTGGAGGCGTCCTTCACACGTTTGGTCACACACACACACTCGTACCACTGCTGCACAGGCGCTATGTTCCACAGACGCAGTGTGCAGTAGTTTCACAGCAGCGGGCGATGTTGCCCTGTGCGTGGAGTCCCGATTGAGGCATTTGCGCCACGGTGGCGAGAAGTTCACTACCTTGGCTGGTCTGCTCGAGTTTTCTCTCTCTCCCCGTGAGCTTCTATTCTGCGCCTCTTCTCTCATCACATGCACCGTCCCCGTATCTCGTTCCACTGCCTCCTCCCATCCCGTCCCCCCCTCGGGCTCCCTCTGCTCCTTCTGCCCTCCACCGGTAGCATCTTCACAGCCCTTCTCATTGCGTCATCTCTGCCTCTTCTCAACACGTGCCCAAGTGTGAGTCTCACCACCCCCCCCCCCCCCCACCTGCACTGACCACAAAACAATGTACGCATGTATGAATGTTGAACTTCTTTTGCACCGTACAAAGCCAACCATGCTAATCGGAGGTGCTGGGTAAGGACAACTTCCCCTTCTGCCTCCGTGCCCTTAGAGGTACTCTCAACGTCCATCTCGACATTCCCATCTCCGCCCTTCCAAGCGCTCGCTTTTCCTTCCTCCACGGCGGTGCCCACGTCCCTGGCGCTTGCGTGACCCACTGTGCCCCGTACCCGTCCACTCCCACCCTGCCCGGCAGGACCTCGGCGCCCCGTACCACGCTGGCACCTACCGGCTGCTGCCACGCTCCAGCCGCTCCCACGTGACGGGAGAGTGCCGGCTGCACAGCGCCTTCCTCACCTGCCAGGTGCGCGGAGCGAAGCGCGAGAGGGATTTTGTCGCAACGACGCGGGGATTCTACGCTCGGGGGCGGCGAGACGGCCAAATCACCTCGAGGTTTTACGACCACGAGCGGCCCGAGGAGATCAAAACCTGCAGCTCCCCCAACCCCCTCGTTTCCTGCGCTGTTTGTAGACGCGGTGGTTAAACGTGGCATGTGTCACACAACCGTGTCAAACCACTCGGCCTACCCCGTATTCTTGTGCAGGGAAATTGAGTTTCCAGGTTCATACGGTGTACCCGTCAATCCATACGGTTTACCCGTATTCTTGTACAAATTGTCTATTTGATTGCGTTTCTCTCCTTGTGATGGGATTTTGTAGGGTGAACGTTGAGATTTATAATGGCACGGGGTGACCAATAAGGTCTGAAATTGGTCCGTAATAAGGTAGGGGCATTGATAAGAGGTTGACAGGTATCGAGATGGATGAATTGGTATCTATATGGATTAATTAATCCACTTGCTGTACTGCCATCTCCTGGCTACCGCACAACGCAGCGGGTTTCAAAGTCTCGCAAAATCTGACTCAGCGGCCCTTCCCTCCAGAGGCCTGGATAACGGGGCCAGCACCACCACACGCAACAGAGAGCCGTCCCGTGGGACATTAACAGAAGCGCTCGTCCTACGGCGAGCCTGGATCACTGCCACGGGAATGGGGAATTTCCACCAATGGTTTTAGGCAGCCGATCGAAATGAGTGCCGCCCCAATGCTCATTAGAGCGTGGAGACAAATTGACGCATCGGCCAGTCATCTCAGTCAGTCGACCCATGGCACCACCTGGGTCTGTCCCCGTGACCTCCTGCCAGCGGGCGTTCGACACTTCACGTGGCCTTAACGTGCACCTAGCCTGGCACAAGCGCCGGGGTGACGTCACCACCACTTAGCGGCGAATGGCGGTTGTTGTTGCTGTTGTTGTTGTTGGTCCCAACGCGTGGGAAGTGACAGCGGCTGTTTTGTTGGGTGCAACAGAGGGACAGCGCGCTGAGCCGGGAAGGGCTCGAGAGGGGCGCGTACGAGCACCTGCTCAACGAGTTCGTGGAGTACGAGCACAGCCTCACGGTGAGCTGGTCCGCGTGCCTCCGGCGTGCCTCCGGCGTGCCTCGTGTGCGTCTGGCCGATTCGACTCTTCTTCTTCTTATTCTCGTCGTCGTCGTCTCCATCATCGTCGTCTCTCACCCCGCCCCCCCCCCCCCCCCATTATTTTTGCAATTCGTCTCTGCCCCGTACGTAGCCATTGCGTTACAGAGCAGCATCGCAGGCAGGTCGTGCGCGTGCTTGTTGGCAGAGCTCGCCCGTTGGGAACTTACAAGGTTGGCTGAACTTAGGGGTGGGGAAAGAGTGGCGGGGGGGGGGTATCGCGTTGCTAAGATGTTAACTACCTCGCCTGGTGTGCAGGAGATCGTGGGTTCGATCCCGACCCTGACGCCTGCTGCTGCTGTATATTTGGAGTTTGCGTGTCTCTCTCTCCCCGTGGTCGCGTGGATTTTTCTCCGGGTCCTCCGGGTTTTCCCTCCACGTTTAGAATCAACGTCACCACACGTTTAGAGTATTTGGCTGCTCTACATTTACACGATGATAAGCTACTTGGTTGAGCTATCAAATGTCAGTGGGCCTTAGCTGTTAAAATAAAAAATAGTTTAGTTACACAAGTTAACAAGGCGTGCGTCCTGGTAACACCGGGCCCGTGAGAGTGGTTTAAATGAGGTTATTCGGCAAAAGGTCTCATCATGTCTCCCTAAACCGCAAAGGCCATTGGGTTCCACTCCTGGTTGAGTTGTCCTTCCGCCGCACCTCCGTTGAGCACGGTGGGCTACGTACGGTGCGAAAAAAGCTCAACGTACATGCCCACCACTCACTCCTCTGCCTTAGCTCTCACCTCTGTGCATGCCTGCCTATCCTTCCCAGTCTGTCAGGCGTAGTGCCGCCGGCGTATCCTGACAGAGTCATCCCAGAGTTTAGTACCAAGAAGCAAACGCGGATTGCTGAGTTGGGGGGGGGGCATCATCATGCGGCTCGCGATTGTAACAGCGTGCCTGCTGGGCATGGTGGGTTTACTTGCAAGTTTCGGTTCATCAGACGTCGTCATGCATAAGCACATGTTATGTATTTGTCAACAAAAAAGTCTCACTCAGTAAGAATTGGGTTTGAGATGTTTGGATGAATAATGTGAAATTCCTTTTGTTGTGGGAGGAATTCAGAATGGTTGTAGAAAATCCACATGGAGACCACACTAGGACCCTTCATATGGGTGTCAGAGGGACACTTACTATACTGTTTCTTGTATGCATGTATGTTGGACTTCTTTCGCACCGTATGTACAGTAGCCAACCGTGTTAATCGCAGGTGCGAGGGAATTACAACAATCTAAACACTAAAGAGAGACTGCTGCCTTTTTGGTGGGTTTTTCACTCATTATTATGTAATAATAATTATTGTGCTTGTTTACCCGGGAAAGCCTCACTGAGTCTATCGCAGTAGGACGCGATGCTGCTGTGCGTAATTCCAAACGAGTCGTTTGCAGGTAATTTTTCCCAGCATTGGGATATTTGACCAATACCAGTTGTAATTGTGTGTGTGTTTTTTTTTACTTTGGGTGCAAACTGGAGAACGCGGTGGAAACTTGTGCATGACAGGGGAAGAGAACACATACAGTTCTTTGCGTGTTTAGTTTGTTCTCCTTCCCCCGCACCTCCGATTAGCACGGTTGGCTACGTACGGTGCGAAGGAAGTTCAATGTACATGCATACAAACGCCACGTAGGAAGATGCCTGCGTTGGTAATCGAACCCAGGCCCTTCTTGATGAGTTGGTACCGCTGCGCTACCCTGCCACCCACAGACAACGGGCGCCACGTCTCTGTGCCTCTCCCCAGCCTGCCACCGCACATAACGCGCCTGTGTAAACGTGTGGGAAATATCACTGTTTACAATATCACTGTTTACAATATCACCGTTTAAAATTGAGGGATAAGCAGGTGGTGAAAAATCACACGGAATATCGATTCACCGATTAAAATCCACGTTTCACGCCCTCCCCACCCAGCCCCACCCCACCCAGCCCCTCCCTACCCTCCCCTCTCCACCCAGCCCCACCCCGCCGACGTGGACAGACATCCACAGACATACGCAATTAATCCCCTGCCTCCTGTGAATTAATCCCGGTTGGGCTTCCAGTCCACTACGTTTCCGACCAGTATAAACCGTACCATTAACACGGGGTGAACGACATCGAATTGATTGGAACCGCAATTTCGAATCGTGCCAATTCATGGAATCACTGGGGTCTGGGGCAGGGAGCGCCGTTATCTCTCAACAGAATTCGCGTAGGGAATCGGAAATAATTCAGCACAAGCTCTCAGCCTATACCCATTACACGAATCTTTGGAACTCTGGTGAAAACGGCTTCATGGGTTCCTTATGATCGGCTACTCAGCCCAAGAAGTTTATAAAAGATTTCGTGTTGTTTTCGTGCAAGAAAAACATTTAAAATATACATTTAACACACTACTGTATTTACTTTGAACCACAGAAAGGTTCCATCTGATGAAGTGTGGTGAGCGTATTGCCTTGAGTTGGCAGAACGTGTGCGCAATGCACCGCCAACATTCAGAAACACCAACAAACAGGTGAAGGGCTTTGTTTAAACAATCTCTAGAATGTAAAGTCAAGGGCGGACGCACGACACGTGTTTTCACGGAAGGTTACTTGGCCATGGCAAAAAGCCTTGACACTCTCACCCAGTAGACATCCTCATCGTGTGGAAACCAGATAGACCGCGAGAAACACCTTTTTTTAAAATGTTTTTCACCTCAGACGTAACGGTTATTTTGCCATGGCAAAAAGCCTTGACGCTCTAATCCAGTAGACATCCTAATCGTGTGGAAACCAGATACGCCACCAGAAACACCTTTAACAAAAAAAAAATGTTTTTCGTCTCGGATGTAAAAACAAAAAATAACCCCCGACATGCAGGGACGGCCCCTAAGCGAAACGACACGACATCCCTCTGACACGCCGCGTTGCCCTGCACAAACAAAAGCGGTCGGCTCCCCCACCGGCTCTTAAATAAAATATTTGTAACATCTGTGGCGCCCCACGGTCTTCGGTGGAGGATGATGTCGCGCCGGGCCGTCCACGACTATTCCTAGACTCAATTTAAACCCAGGGGAGCAATCCTCAGTGGGGGTATTGTGTGTGTGTTTTTTTTGTCGCGTTATTTTGTTTAAAAAAAAAATGCATCCCTACCCGCCGCCACCTGTACGCGTTTCTCTGGCCTTGTGAAGTAACACGGCACGTTTTAAAGTGTTTGTGTTATACTGTGGTCGGTTAGTGGTCAAACCTGGATGGCGAATAATGGAGGAAAAAAACCTGGCTATCACCGCTCTGAACCGTTTGCAGGCCAGTGCTTGTGTATATCTGTCGTAGCCCTCTGGGCTATCACACCACAGGGAGATCAATCGGGAAAGTTGCCATCGATTAACAGAGAGACGTGGTCGGATTCGTCGTCTTCATCATCAGCGATGGCCCATCCGTCACAGTATTGCAATGTCACTCACTGTCTGTCCAGCTCTTGTCCGTGAGCTGATCTAATCGCTTCATTTCCGCAGTGGTCCCGGGCGTATTCCCTATAACTCGGTGTCCTAATTAAAACAAAAAATAGGGCACTAAGGCATAGCTCTTTAAAGTCAACAGTGTGATTTCCAAAAATTCAGCAAAAAAAAACACATTGGCTTTATGCACATATATTCATTTTTGCTTTGACATATTATAAGTAAAAACAATGCATTTTGACTGCAGGTATTGTGGTTAATGCAGACTTGAATCCTTGCAAAAAGGTTTCAGTTTTGTTGCCAGAAAAAAGGAGGGAACCCCTATTATTATATTTTGGTACTGACAAAGGAGGTCTAATGAGACTTGTGAGGCTAACGGAGGCAGTGAGAAGAACTAAGTGGACCTTTAGGATAAAGACAGCCCGGTGATATTTAGCCATTCAATTTACATTAAACAATGAAAATAATCAATTAGCCTTAGCAATTGTTATTTTTTTATCTAGCTTGAGTATAGCAACGTGAATTTTCTCGATTGTTTTTACTTGCTAGCAACATAATTTGTTATTGGTATAATGTATTTCAATAAAAGCCTAGTGCAGAGCAAAAACCGCGATGCAGGGAGGGGTTTACAGAAACTCCGTGGACAGAAGTCCTAAAATCTGTGCTCCTGGGGTTAGAGGAGGAAGGAGATTGGGCAGGGAGAAAAACATAATTTTAATATATAACGTATATTTTTATCTATCTAAACATTATTTTAAAAGACATGATTGGCAATGTAAAAACAATTTACGATAAAAAATGTAGGAACAATATTTTTTTAAACATCTGGAAACGTTCCAACAATTATGTTCCACTAAAACCGAGCTTGTCATTTGTTCTACCATGAGTAGGGGTGAGATGACAATTGTTGCTCTTAGCCACAATTCTGTAGATTCCACGTGCGTATGATTGGTGTGATGTGTGTGTGATGTGTGTGTGGGGATGGGTGTGTGTGTGATGGGTGATGTGTGTGTGATGTGTGTGTGGGGATGTGTGTGTGTGTGATGTGTGTGATGTGTGTGTGATGTGTGTGTGTGTGTGATGTGTGTGTGATGTGTGTGTGTGATGTGTGTGTGATGTGTGTGATGTGTGTGTGTGTGTGATGTGTGTGTGTGATGTGTGTGATGTGTGTGTGTGATGTGTGTGATGGGTGTGTGTGTTATGTGTGTGTGTGATGTGTGTGTGTGATTTGTGTGTGTGTGATGTGTGTATGTGATATGTGTGATGTGTGTGTGTCATGTGTGTGTGTGTGATGTGTGTGTGATGTGTGAGTGTGATGTGTGTGTGATGTGTGTGATGTGTGTGATGTGTGATGTGTGTGTGATGTGTGTGTGATGTGTGTTATGTGTGTGATGTGTGGTGTGTGATGTGTGATGTGTGTGTGTGGTGTGTGATGTGTGGTGTGTGATGTGTGATGTGTGTGTGTGTTATGTCGTTGTTCTCCTAACAGAGTGGGCTGTGGTCGGGTGAGCTGGGAGAAGATGCCATGGCAGTGCTTTCCCAACATGCAACGCAGGTTGACCTTTCACCCCTGGAGCAGGCCATCATGTAAGTTATTCTGCATGCAATTTGTCCATCTTAAATTAGCTATCATCTGTGTTTCCCAATGTGCTGGCATCACCATTTAACACATTGTAGGCTTTCGCGACCGGTATTATTCATAATAACGTTTTCTTGGGGAACGTTGCATAAATATATAAATGCGTCGTTAACCCACCCTCCACCCGACACAGCCAATTAGTAAGGTTTGTCACGCAAACAAAACGTGCCAATTGGCTACTACTTCAGCACACCGGTGTGTCGGAGGGTACACCCACAATATTTACAATTTGAGTACCGTGTTTTGCTGGTGATTAAAACCGGCTTCATCAGGATATTTCACCAGCACAATGTCGCAATTAAATTGCAACACTTTTCGTTTGACTCTCCAACACTCCGGTGTGCTGAACTAATAACTAATCGGCACGTTCTGTTTACGTGACAAACATTACTAATTGGCTGTGTCAGCTGGTGGCGGGTTAATGACACATTTATATTTACATGATCCAACCGCAAAAAAAATAACCCTCCTCTGTTATGAATGGCACCGCTATCATTTAAAAACAAAATTTTTAAAAAAAATTCCTCATCGCGTTTCCCAATTGACCCGAGCGCTCCCCTCTGTCGCGACGATCTCTCTCACCCCAAGGTGGTGGTTTGTATACAGCGACCACCACAGCAGCAGCCCAATGTTGCCCGATTGCTTGATGCAGCTGCTCAAAAGCCTGGAGGAGAAGTGGACGCTGTCGGAACAAGGTCGCAGCAGGCTGCTACCGGACCAGGTAACGACAGCAGAATGAGCGGCACGTGGTGGGGGGTGGGGGGGGGACAGAGGACTTGCAGTAGACGCGATATCGACGGGATTTAGACGAGCGGTTCTCAACTGGGGGTACGCTGACCACTGGCGGTACCTAGGATTGTCCAAGGCGGGTACGTGAGGTGATTTATAAATGTGTGAAATTATATCATGCATGAGAGTCATCGGTGAATAACCATGTATGAATCTGCCAATATAAAATGACTACGATTTATAAATGTGAATCCATATGGTAACCTATAACGACGTAAAATACTTCATGGGACCTCCTTTGCGAGTATCAAAATATGATAATAGGTTTTTTCCCCTTTTTTTTCTGGCAACAAAACAGGTGTTGAGCTGTTAAAACACCAAACTGAAACCTTTTACAATGAACCATATCTGCATTAACCACAATGCTTGTGGTCAGAATGAAAACAAAAACATACTCTGATAATATATTGCCATTGTCCTTGAAACTGATTAGTCCACACCAGACACAGCTTTTTTTTTGGGCCCAATCAGTTTCAAGGACAATGCATATGTTATCAGAGCGTGTTTTTTGTTTGCATTCTGACCACAAGCATCGTGGTTAATGCAGACATGATTCCTTGTAAAAGGTTTCAGTTTGGTGTTTTAGCAACTTAACACAGCTGTTTTGTTGCCAGAAAAAAAGGGGATGAACCTATTATGATATAAAAGACCTTTCTAAACGCGTTCATCGTAAACGATGCGGGGTTTTTGCAAGAGTAGCCAGCGAGCACGAACACATTACAACGTACCCGCAGGGCGTCCAGTGACTTTACAGCTACTCGTCAGGTACACCTCACAGGACGGACAATTGGTTAAAATATTGACGTTCATCATTCGCACATTTATTTCTCAGGACCATGGTCAGGCAAAGGGCTACTCGGTTGAAACAATATTCAACAAGAAGGGGGGGGGGGGGGGTGGGGAGGTGGGTGGAGGGGGTTACAGTAGCCAACAGAATGAGAAACACTGATTTACACGATGGCTGACGCGGGGGCTGTCTTCACAGGGACCGCGGCTTCAAGACAGCTTCGCCAAGCTCATCTCGCAGAACCTGTCTGCGCTCAGCGAGCTGCACGCCAACTTCCCCCTCACGGACCCCTCGTCTCTGCCAAGTCTGCGCGACCTCCTGAGGTTCCTTTGTGTTTCTTTGTTTTGGCGTTTCCCCAATTTGTATTTATTTTCTCACGAAGCGTTTCCACCCGAGGCCAATCGCTCAGGCGGCAACAACGCCTGTTTGCCACTTGGCAAAGACTTTGCGGCTCTGGCACAAGCGGCGGCACAAGCCCTGGGCTATTACAAACAGCACGTCCACATCCGCCGTTAGGCGAATGTTATTTTGCCTGGAGAGCCCCGGAGAGCGGACATTGCCGAACGTGTGCGGGGTTTGATGGCTTCAAACTGTCACTGATGACCGAAGAAAAAAAAATCAGCAAAAAGGTCCTTTCCATCACATTCACCCATTAGTCCAGGGGCTAAGCGCTGGACAGCGCTTAGCTTAGCGAACGGCGCCCATAACTACCGCTATAAACTAGTTTTTATTTCACCAGGTAAGGCCCACCGAGCTATATAGCTCTTTTACAGATGTGACCTGGCTGTCACAAGCGATAATCCAATTCGGTGGCTTATCGTGTGGAAATTTCGAGCAGTCAAATGCTCTAAATGTGGAGGGGAAAAACTGGAGGACGCGGAGAAAAATCCACACGACCACGGGAAGAGAGACACGTAAACTCCAAATGTGCGGGATCGAACTCACGAACCACCTGTACACCAGGCAAGGTAATTAACATCTCGTGACTGCGGCGCCAAAATTGGTGTGTGAAGTATGATTTTTTGTTTCATATTGGTGGATGGTTCTCCCTTCCGTGTGCATCTTTGTTTACCCTTAGGTTCCTGATACATCTGTTTGGATCTCCGCTGTATGAAAAGGAGCCCAGACAGCTTGGAGAGCCACACGGAGAGCTACAGGCCACAGTGGGGACAGCCCTGGAGGTACAAGGCCCTTAGTTAAACACCGGTGTTAGCCAGGGGTGTGTACTGGGATACAGCCCAGCTGGTGTAGCGACTGGACGCCCATTTTATGAATCTCTCTGATATGAAGAAAGGAAATAGCCCGACATATTGCCGTATAAAAAAGTATTTATTATATATATCTTCCTGTATTGTGAAGTGTTAATGATGAATGTTAAAACCGGCGAGGTGATTCAGTGGTAGAGTGAGCGGCTCACAAATGGTAAGTTCCAACTTCAATTCCTGGTTGATGGTTGACTCAGACCATCATCCCTCTGGGGTCAATAAAAAGAAGTGCCACTTTGTGGGGAAGTCAAAATTGCTTGTCCTCTGGATGGACTTGTCCCTACCATAGTAATGCAGAATTTGCACCCGTGGCTTCAGGCTTTGAGCAGCAAATCACTGTGACTACCCACGGACGTGTTGAGTTTTTTGTTGGTTGTGCTTCTGCACCACTGCCAACGCAGCATCACAAGAACAACAACAACAACCTAATGTTCAATCTTGCAACTGTCCAATCGGGCTTCCAATCCAACCCCATCACTACTCAGCCAGGACACGAAAACAGCCCATTGAGGCAAACGTGTAAACACGGGCTTGTGTGCAAGCGTGATTTGGTAATGCAGCCCATCATATATATGTATGCATGTTGAACGTCTTTCGAACTGTACGTAGCCAACCGTGGCTAATCGTTTGGTGGCAAGTTCACAGCGGCTGTCAGATGGAAACGCCGTTTCCTGCCATTAAGTACAGTCATTTCCACTCCTCGGCCAGGACTGCCAACGGATGAGCATCACCCAATGCTTATTTGAGCTCTAAGAATGAGTGTACCATTAAGTACAGTCATTTCCACTCCTCGGCCAGGACTGCCAACGGATGAGCATCACCCAATGCTTATTTGAGCTCTAAGAATGAGTGCACCGACTTGTGTTTTTGCCCCCGACATCGGCCAAGACAATTTGGTTGACTTGTCTTGTAACTCATGAAGCGACTTGTCTGAACGTTTAATTCTCCATTAAGTGATACACTTTTGCTACGTGGAAAGTGCCACCGAATGGTTTAGAATCACAGACGGTAGTTCCATTAACACAACAGTGCGATGTAACAATATAGTACTGTTATTAAACCGCGCCTGCATTGAAAAGACGCTGACAAATTGGGATGGCAACACGCAAAGGTTTTGTACATCCTAAGCAATAATTTTGCTGCAGAACACATGACCGTAATCACCTGGCTTCATAACACTTTCCTCTGCTTGATAGATTTCTTTAACGAGTTGCTCAGATGTTTGTAAATGAGCTGTCTTCACACCGATAATACAACGATTTCCCACACCCCCGATCAGCACGGTTCGCTACGTACGGTGAGAAAGAAGGCCAACATACAACCATACGTACATCGCTTGTCACGCATGTTTAGTTTCATATTATAACCACAAACCATGGCGGTAGCAGCAGCAGTTTTGGATACTTGATACACAAATGGAAAATTTAAAAACCCTCCGATGTGCGACTGTGGTGGTCACCCAGAACAGAACCACGAAACGCTTTTAACGACTCGATGCCCGAGTCACAAATGTGGAGGAGGAGGCGTCATCATGGCGATGATGCACCACTCCGCTACTCCTGACGCAGTCATCTGGCTCAACCACTTCAATGTAAAAGTATAGCTGCTGCTCTACCTCAGCATAAGCCATCGAACGAAGGCGGTCGCTGCATCGCGCGATTTCAGATGCGCTTCTGCGGCCGTCTGGAACGCTCTTCTATACTATATTAGGACGCAACTGGAGCTATGCACTGTTAAATATAAATTGAAATCAAATTTCTTTCCAATTGCTTTTCGTGTTTAGTTTGTTTTCCTTCCTCCGTACCTGCAATTAGCATGGATGGCTACTTACGGAGCGAAATAAGCTCAACATATTTCACTTAAAATGTGGCTGTGCAAGTGCCTTCATTCACTATTGATACGGGCAAACATCCATCGCTTTTATTTACAAACCGGTAAAGAAATGTGAAATAATGGTATTAAAGCAACGCGTTGCTTTGTGTGATGTGCTGTAATCAGGAAGCGTCTGAACTCTGGTACAACAAGAAGAAAGAGCCGTTCCATGCACTGGAGGTAAACAACAATTTGATTAACATATTATCAGGCCACCTCCATACAAACTATTTAACGTGTAACCAATGTAGTTACATATATGCAGTATGAGTAAAGCTCAAGAATTTAAAAAAATGGAATGTATCTTTATTATAATATAATAAAATACACGGCGGGCCTTGTTAAAAACAAGCCTTCTTTAGCTGCTTGACAACTGCCATCCCATTTTTGGGCCGTGAAAGGTAAAAGCCCTGCAATTAGTTGCTCGGGTCACTGCCGGCGTATAATATTATTTGGGTTGCGTTTGGCAACGTAAATGGAAACGGTTCAATGAAATAAATAGCTGCATTTGTGTTGTTATGACGGGCTGTATTCTCGCTACGGTGGTGAGAAACTGCCTCGCCTGGTAGAGAGAAGGTCGTGAGCTCGATCACGACCACGACGCCTGTAATTTACATTTCGCATTTTCTCCCCGCGGCCGTGAGGATTTTTGGTCGGGTCCTCCGGTTTTGCCCTCCACATTTAAAATCAACGTGCGTTTAGAGTATTTGGCTGCTATACATTTCCACGTGATAAGCCACTTCGTTGAGCTATCATTTCTAATAGCCAGGTCGCTTCTGTGGGCCTTACCAGGCAAAATAAACAAAAATTGTTTTAGTTTATATTCTTGGTTCTTTCGGTAAAGTCACGTAGAAGGGAAACAATAAAATAATAAAAATATAAAACAATAAAATTATCACGACGTTTCGACTGCAACATAAGCAATCATCATTAGGTGTGAAAACCACAGCAAGAACATTTTTCAAATTCTTCAAATTTTCTTGCTGTGGTTTTCACACCTGATGATGATTGCTTGTGTTGCGGTCGTAAACGTCGTGAGAATTTTATTGTTTTATATTTTTATGATTTTATTGATTCCCTTCTACGTGACTTTACCGAAAGAAACCAAGAATATGAATCCCTGCAGTCACGAAAGCTTTAAATCAAAACCTGTTTTCGTTTAGTTTAAAGTGGCGGCGTTGTTGTGATGGCTTGCGCAGGGAGCCCAGGAGCAGGTGCTGGCCTACAGTCGGCTGTGCGAGATCATCTGGACAGAGCTCAAGGAGAATGTGCCAAAGTACAGCCACGCCTTCGTCAGGTGGGCTCCCCGTCGACGCCGCTACACCGCACGGCCAACACGAAATGTTCACGAACGGTGGCAAAGGTGCAGCCACGCGCTTGCCATAGCAGCCAAACACGCATGTTGATTCTAAATGAAAGGGGGAAAAAACGGAGGACCCGGAGGAAAAATTCACGCAGCCACAGGAAGAACATGAAAACTCTAAGTATGCAGGCATCATCAGGGTCGGGATCGAACCCACGACCTCCTGTATACCAGGTGAGGTAGTTAACATCTCGCCACCGTGTCGAGATCTGGAGAGCTGCGCTAGAGAGGGTTATGGCCTTTTCTTCCACACTGATCAGATGTCTTGGAAAAGGTGCAAGCACCCAATGGCAGAGCCAGGACTTTCAGGTAGGGGTGGGCAACACTTCCAGCAATGAAAAATGATAGAGGAGTTGTTAGTAAGTAAGGAGTTGTTAGTAAGTAAGGAGTTGTTAGTGAGTAAGGAGTTGTTAGTGAGTAAGGAGTTGTTAGTGAGTAAGGAGTTTTTAGTAAGGAGTTGTTAGTAAGTAAGGAATTGTTAGTGAGAAGTTGTTAGTAAGTAAGGAGTTGTTAGTAAGTAAGGAGTTGTTAATAAGTAAGGAGTTGTTAGTAAGTAAGGAGTTGTTAGTAAGGACGTGTCCCTTGCTTGTTACTCGCCACGTGTGCGGCGATGGCTCAGTCATCGATCGAGGGTCGAATTGGAACCGCGTTGTGTGATCGCCATCGCGCTCGCTGAAGGTGTCGATGCCTTCAGGGAAGTCGTGGACTCTGTAGATGCAAATGCGCACAATTCTGTAAGTCACTTATAACCGCTTTGCAGTTACGTATTGCCAATTATGGACTCAGACTATTGTCCCATCATCTCATAGAGTCCCTGGCCACGGGTGTCGCAAAATGCTGATTTATTACTAATAAAGCCCAATGATCCGATCCCCCCTCTCCCCCCCCCCCACTGGCTCCGCCAGTGGAAGCACCCACACTTAAACCTGACATGCGAGACCTGCCCATCAACTGTCTGTGCTCTTCCTATTTATACTGCTGAGTGGACAGAGTCGGCGAGATTTTAGAAACGTGCCCCATTGTTTTAACTGCCGGGCTCACCATTACACCGCAGCAGTTTCTGTAATATTAATCATCTAGAATAGTTGTGAAGGAAACCTTTACTTGGTCTAAAGCCCTTTGTAACAGGTCCATGCGTTGGGATGTTTTGCTAAATCTATGAATGATTGTTTGGCATGTAAACGATGTGTTTCCGGGTTGTTGTTAGGCATGATGTCCGACGTGTCACTCCACGTGCTGGGAGCTTCATCAGGAAGTGAATTGTGTGTCAAGAAGCTGTCCGTGGATGGCTCCCGTTCGTGGTTTCCGGCGGCGTTTGTTTGAGTAGCCGCATGCTGCCGATGAGTCTTGGTTGAGCCAACCTCTCCAGGGTTCGCCTCGTTGCTCTGAAGGCGCTCCCAGGACATGGTGTGAAACATCGGACAACGTGCCAATCAACACGCGGCACAACCCGAAGACACATCAGAGAGTTGGACAGCACAAACCGGGAAAGCCGTTGCGGCGGTAAAAACGTATAGCAACCCAAATTTGTTCAAGTGAAACTTGTGGAATCTGACAGAAGGGCTCAATGGCACGATGCTCTTTAAATCCATAATAGAGGGGGGTTTTTTTGTTTGATCGCGTAAATAAAAATGTGTCATTAAACCACCACCCGACACAGCCAACTAGTAGGGTTTGTCACGAAAATAAAACGTGCCAATTGGTTACTAGTTCAGCACACCGGTGTGTTGGAGAGTAAAACAATGAACATCGATACTCTTTGGTTCTGTTTTTTTACCTACGTGACTTTACCGAATAGAACCAAAGAGTATGGATCCTTGCAGTCACGAAAGCTTCAAATCTAGAATAAACATCGACCTACATTATCGCCATCGTTAACGTGGGAACCTGTAAAAAAACCGCGAGCTTTTAATTTTAACATCGCCTGCAACGTGTCGATAGTCACGTGGCTCTGACTGTCGTGGAGCAGGATGGTGCAGTCATTCACGTGTGTTGTTGTTTACGGCGTCCGTGTCCTCATCTGATGATGCATTTGCTCTTGGAAACGTTCAACGCACATTCATTAATTATGCTCGTTTCAACCCCCCCCCCACCCCCGCACAGTTTGGTGGACGTCAGCTTTCAGAGCATCTGGTACCAGAAAATGGAGAAGATGGTAAAGACAGCTTTACATAATTATTTAGCATTTGCACACCTGTCAACCCCTTATTGCCAACCTTATTATGGATCAATTCAGACCTTATTGGTCACCCCGTGCCCTTTTAAATCTCAACGTTCATCTTACAAAGGCCCATCGCTCGGGAGAAACACAAACAAATAGACACATTGTACAAGAATACGCATAAAGCATATGGGTTGACAGCTATGCATTTGACATTAAAGCCTCGCACTTGGTTAGCCGAGTTAATTTATCATTCGAGCACTTGTTTACACCAAAGGGATGTGGGGCACTTCGAGACAGCCCACTCACGCGACGCATCACCCGAACCTCCACAGAGATTAACTAAAACTACTCAAGCATGTTTTGTCTATTTTACCAGGTAAGGCCCCCTGAGCTATGTAGCTCTCTTTTAGAAGCCACATCGCCACAAACGATTGCTCAACGAAGTGGCTCGTGATCACGTGCAAATTTACAGCGGTAGCCAAATACGGCACGGGCAACGCAGGGATTCTCTCGCCGCAGAGCTTAAAGCCAACGAATTGCCAGCGCTCGTGGCCCAGTGACAGGGCAGAAAGAGTGAGGGCCCAAGTTCGTCGCGTGCCCTTTATTAATAGCACGTGGAAATGTATAGCAGCAGCCACCTACTCTAAACGTATGTTCATTCTAAATGTGGAGGGGACAACCGGAGGAGAGAAATAGATACGTCCTCATTGCCCAGCCTCTCATACAACGCACCACATCACCCGGGAGCGACCACTTCCGGGGGGGGGGGGGGGGGGGGGAGGTCAATGGGAGTAACCGCTGCTCTCACAATGGCGACCGCGTCGCTTGTGCACGTGGCAGCTTGCGTGGGACGTGCAGACCATGCTGGGCCAGCTGAGCTCCTCGGAGGACTACCGGCTCGACGGGGAGACGGGAGAGATGCTGCACATCTTCCACACGTCGCTGCATCAGCTTGCCCAGAACGCTGAGAAGCTCGGCCTTCGGTAAAACCATGCTTCACGGTGGGGCGGTAACAAGGGGGTCGGTGGATCGCGCCGATGTTCTGAAAAATCCCATCACCGTCGGCGTCGGGGAGGAGCGATAACCGTGGCTCGGCGGGGGAAGTGGGAAAACAGCAAAGCGTCTTTACTCACGAGTGGGGAAACTACTTACAACTTTGCAAGGTTAATATTGTTATCTCCTTCACGATAGGGGGTGTTTGTTACGTGGTTTACATTAGCCTCCTATCATATTGCTGCTACTAAAAATCATTTAGTAACCCCACCCCCCCCCACCCCAGTTTCTCGTCCTTGTCTGCTGCATCACAGTTCACTGTTTCTATGCATTCATTTCTTGAGTTTGGCCTCTCAGGGTCTTGAGTTACTCTCTCAGTTTCTTGGGTATTCCCCCCCAAGGCTTTTCAGACGGGGTCTCACCAAGTTGAACTCTTTGGGATTGACCATTAGAATGAAACGTGATATGGCGCATGCAAACGTGCAATATTTTGCATCCAGTTACTATTATCTTACAGCCCTGCGTGTTTATTGGTGGAGTCAGCCAGCTAGTAACTATTGCAACTCTATATTGAGCTTCTAATTCCGTCTTACGTTCAATTATGTTTGTCGAATTCAGTGCAATGCTGCTTCGTCCAAGCTGACACTCTCCAGAGCTGTGGTACAGAATCTACGGCACGTGTACTGGACATGGCCCATGACTTCGTTTCGTACAGTCCGCGGCCACTCGGCCTTGCCCCTTCCTAACGGCCCGCAAACGGCTCAACCGTCACCGCCACCATCCTAGCCGTAACGTATCGAGAACCAAAGGGGGAATATTTTCAAACCTGTCGACAACACTTGTATGTATGTTGAACTTATTTCGCACCGTACGTGACCAACCGTACTAATCGGAGGTGCGTTTATAACGTGAGCGCGTTTCTGTCACCGGCAAAGATGTGCCCTTGTCATTTTTCGTGGTAAAACTGGATAATGTGTGGGCCGACAAATGTTTTCATGAAAGTCCGACCCGGTCATTAAATAAATAAAAATTATGTTACGCACGGTTGCTCTAGGGGAAGTCACGTTACAGCACCTCGTAATGGCTCAGGCCCGTTGCTGTTTTCCAGGGCAAAGATCCCACCACTCCTAAACGCACAGCAGTGGCTCGGAGAGGCGGTGAGCACATGGGTCGGCATGGCTTATGAGAACATGAGTTCCTCCATCCAGTCAAGCGTGCAGAAAGACAAGGTGAGGCATGTGGTCGTCTGACCGTGAATGGCTTCGGAGCGTGGGTAAAACATCGCGAGACAGTACTCGCTACCATTCCGACGCATCTGCTCGATGTACTCTGAAGGAGTGTTCAAATCTGTAAATGACAAGAAAACCCCATCGATGTCCGAATTAAATATTTATGAATTAGAGATATCAGATTGCCGACCCCTGATCCATCCCACGTAACGACTCATCCGTCCCACGTGACGATTCATCCGTCCCGCGTGACGACTCATCCATCCCGCGTGACGATTCATCTGTCCCGTGTGACGATTCATCCGTCCCGCGTGACGACTCATCCGTCCCACGTGACGACTCATCCGTCCCGCGTGACGACTCATCCGTCCCGCGTGACGACTCATCCGTCCCTGTGTGTTCCCCATGCCCCTCGCAGCTGGAGGCAGAGTCGTGCTCCGTGAAGCACAGCCTCTCGGCGGGGCTGGCCACGTCGTGGTTCACCAACGCCCTCGCCTTCTGGCTGCAGCTCGCCTGGCCCGAGCCGGCACAAAGCCTGCGCATGCTCGACTCGCTGCTGCAGGTTTGTGAACGGAGGGTCACGTGTATGGATGTAGCCAATCGGAGGTGCGGGGAAAGGACAACACACTAAACGCAGAAAGCAGTTCCAGGGAAATGAGTTTGTAATGTAGATTATTTAAAGGTGCATGGCTTCTGTGGCTTCCTACAAATATGCCTTGCTAGGAAGCCACATGATGATAAGCCACTTCGTTGTGATATTATTTGTGGCCAGGTCGCTCCTGAAAAAAGAGCTATACAGCTCAGTGGGCCTTACCTAGTAAAATAAACATAAAAATGTATCGTATAGTTTGTGTATCGGAAAGAAACAATTAGCAGGTTTACCGCACGGTTGTCCTTTGGCTGTCAGACCTTGAACGTGGACTTATGAGTTGCTATACAAAAGCAAAAGCAAGGAGGAGCCCTGCGAGGCTGGAGGCATTCTGAGTGTCCACGGATGTTCCTGTACAGCCAGAATGGGTTAAAGAGGTCACCAATTTACCCATCTGTCCCTGTTCCATTTTATCCATATTTAATATGTGCAGTTTTCCTGGAAAAAAGATAAGGCTATTAACCACATGCTGATAAATATATGTATTTTAAAATATATTGTAATTCAGACTTTTAATATATTCACTTTTTGTATACTCTATACCCACATCCACATTGATGCATCACTTAATTCAGACTAAACAATGTACGACAGTATTTTAATAAGTTTACAGTATAATTGCGTTTAAATATACGGTAAATGTTTATCACTCGGATGTCTTGAGCACCTGTTGATTAGTGATCGCTTCAATATTTCAGACGCACCGTTATTTTAACCTCTTTAAGTGATTCAGAACCGACGATATTAATTTAACAGTTGAATCCATCCACTCGAGCAGAACAGGCTCTGCTTATTAAGCCGCGCGAAGCTCATTTCCACTGAATAATTTGGTGACGCTGCGGCGTCGGTTGCGATGCACAAGCACAAATAACAAAACGCTCATCGCATTCGTCAATGGCACTGCCGCCTTAAAAGGAACAGTATAAAATAGCGACGTTTCGGGCAGTGGCCCTTCTTCATCGCGTGTGAATAATGCAAATCATAAAACAATTTAGTTTCATTTACATTATAAATCATTTAAATAACGTACGTGTTACGAAGAAGGGCCTGTACCTGAAATGTCGCCTATTATATATTTAAAATGTATTTTTATATATATTTACCTATTATACATTTTTTCCTTCAAAGAAAGCGGTGTTATTGACGAACGTGTCGAGTTTTTTTTTCTCTCCACCGAGACCCGACCTCGCAGCCGAGCGAGCACCTTTACCTGAAAGCGCTTTCGTTTATCCGAAGCGCGTTGCGGTACCCGTTAACGATGGGCAATGATGTGAGCACGGCGTGTCCACCCCCTGCGGTCCCGCAGGACCTGTGCAACGGGGCCGTGTTTTACGTGGCGCAAATGCGGCAGAAGCTGGAGAACGACTACTGCTACTTCAGCGCCGAGACGAGCATCCCCCTGCCCAAGCAGGTACACAGAGGCAAAGGTCTCCCGTCTAGGCCTTGGCAGACCCGTTGGGGCAAGTGCCGTTAAGAGTGTTTTGCCCTCGATACATTTCCGCACAGTAAGCCAAATCGTTGGGCTGTCATGTGTGAGCAGGTCACTTCCGAAAACGAGCTCTGCGGCTCAACGGGATGTACCTGGTAAAATAAAACGTTTGCTTTAGTTCAGAGAGCACCTATGAAGGCCGGCACGGCGCACGCGCGAGGTGGGCGGTCAGTACCACGTCTGGCCGCCCTTTTCTACCGCGTTGATGTTTACATGCCGCACCAGGTACTCAGGGCTGAGTCAATCTAGAGGAGGCCCAGGACCGGTTCTGATATTCGTCACTGATATTGGCCATGAATGGGAATCGAACTTGGGTTGATGGGTTCGTAGCGCAGCGCGCTAACCACTGCGCCGTTGCTCCCCACACACACACACGTCACGCACGCACCAGGTACACATTTAAGGCTGAGTTTGACCTAGGGGAATCCAAGTCCAGTTAAATATTCATCGCCAATGTTGACTGTGAGCAGTAATTGAACCTGGGCCACGGGGTTGTAGCGCAGCACGCTAACCGCTGCGCCACCACTCCCCATAAGCATTGTGACTGGTAGCTGATTGCTTAGTTTTGCTTAAACATGTCTGAGCGTAAAGTGATGGACAATTGGGTATTTGAGGCAGTAGGCAGGCGAGTGCTCTTTTCGACTTGTATGGATCAGATGGCTGGACGCTAAGAAGCTCAACATTAGGTTGTTGGAATCTGAGCACAGGTGTCCGAGATGGATGCGAGGAATTTTGTGGCAAGACAGCACAGTGATGCAGAAGTCTGGAAGAGGACATGGCAGGTGGGTAGTGTTGTAGATATGATGATCCATAATAGAGGGTTTTTTTTGGGTTAGATCTCATAAATAAATTTGTGTTGTTAAACCCGCCATCACCCAAAACAGCCAATTAGTAAGGTTTGTCACGTAAAAAAATATGCCAATTCGTTACTAGTACAGCACCATCGGTGTGTTGGAGAGTAAACCCACAACATTTACGATTCGAGCACGACATTTCGCCGGTAATTACAACTAGCCTCATCAGGCGACAGCCAGAATTGTGGAGAAATCCTCCTGTTACAGTCTTAAATAGAGGGGGTAAATGCATCATCATATGCATTGATATGATAATGATGATGATGCAGAATCGGCTGCACTGGGTGGGACGTGAGGTTCCGAATGCCGAGACAGGCATCGGGAGAGGCCTCCACGAGTCCGACGACCGAGGGGAGGATGGCGGCGGGGACTCAGAGTGAGGACAAATCTTGGAGGCCGCCGCACAGCTGCGCGTTCTGGCGGAGGGTAGAAAACGATGGCGGTGGTAACATCGGCGGCTTTGACCGCGAGGACGACGACGGCATCACGACCGCGAAACGGCCGCCCTCTAAAACGCCGCCCGTTGACCGTGACCCCCACCCCCCCCCCCCGCCCACGCCGCCCACGCCAGGTGTGCACGGGGCTGAACAGCGCGGCGTTTGTGCGCGAGTCGCTGTCGCGGCTGCCGCAGCAGCGCGAGTGGCGCGAGGCGGAGCGCGTCGTGCGTGACCTGTGGCGCGACACCGGCTCCGACCGCTACCACTCGGGCAGCGGGTCGGCGCGCACCAGCGGCGACGCGCTCACCTCGCGCCTCGGCGTGGCCAACCAGACCATCCTGTCGCTGCTCGACAAGCTCTTCAACTGGATCTCAGACCTGGCGAGTTTTGACCCTTGCTCGACCGCGAATTATCTTCGCGTTTTCAGGTGTTATGGATCTCGTTCATTTTACCTTGAGTGCAACAGAGAATGCTCGTATTGACATCCTTGCACATCCGTGTTTCCATGTTGACGTGTTGTCGCCCTTAATGTTTCCATATGTTCCTTGTTAACGATTCCGTGTGCACCGTGTTAACGTCTTCACGTGTTCCTTGTTTACGTTTGTTAATATGTCCGTGTTGTCTGTGTTAATATTACCGTTTGTGCGCGTTTCAGCTTTTACTGGACTTCAGAGTGTATCTGCAAAACAGCGCCAAGCTACAGACCGTGAATACACATGTGAGTCACTGCACCTTCTCTTCCTGACTTGGATGTCTGTTCACGTGCATAGCATTCAACTTTCTCTATTCTAAGCAATACAAATAAGGAGATGTGATATAATGACAATTTACATATGCTCCAGATATTTTTAAGGCATCCATATCGGTGGTTGCATCCTTTTTTTGCACGTGACTTTATCGAAAGACCCGAGTATATTAATTCCTACAGTCACGAAAGCTTGAAGTCAGGAGGTGTTAAGACGTTTAAACACCAAGTATTGCAAGGCATCAAGTCTGCATTAACCACACGTGCTTGTGGTGAACATGCAAACAAACATGCTCTGATAATATTTGCATTGTCTTTGAAACTGATTGGTCTACACCACAGACAGCTTTCTTTGTTGCCTCGTCTCAGCATCAGTGTCAGGCCACAGAATGCCAAAAAGCGAACAGTACAAAGACAATTCAAGTATCAGCACACTTATAGCTCGGGTTGAGCAGTTGTCTATAGGTATAGTGTCATTTTGTTCATTATTATTCTTATTTCATTGTTGTTGTGTGGGTGCATTGGATTGTGTTTTGTGTTCTCAGGATGTTGCTTTGCTGCTGGATTTTCTCAGAGAGAACATCTCCGTCCTGTGCCAGCACCTCTACGAGGACACACGCAATGGGTGAGAGACTGGAATGAAATCACTGCGAAGGTCGACAGTGCTGGAGCTCTGCACGACACTCCGCTAGGTTCAATCCTCCAGTGGAATGAAATTGAAATTATGGAAAGTCAGGGAGTAGAACCGAAGATTGGAAAAATATAAAAAATAAAGTAGCTGAAAGTAAAAAAAAATGATTGTGACGTTATTATTTTTTATAATCTACCCGAGGGGCATTCTAGTGAGAGACAAAAATAGGTTTATGTCTTTAAAAAATCCCCTCCACCACTCACTGGGTTAGGCATCTAACCAGATTATCTACTTCTGTGCTGATGACTACAAAACACGACGATCGGTTCTGCTGGCTTTCCGTCGTGTGTACATGTTGGACTGCGTGTTACTCAGGCATCATGTCCGACGTTATTTTTATCCACTTTCTGGGAGTTTCTTCAGGAACTCTTTCGTTTCTTCAGGAGCTATTCCTGAACACTTGGAAGATATCTCCAGAGTGAGAGTCAACAGAAATGTATTTCCTTGAGAAACGAAACGTCGGACATCAGGCAGAGCAACACGCGGTGTGACCCTAAATCGCATCGGGGAGCTATGCAGCAGTCCAGCCGAGAAACCCCAAAAAACTACAGATAGTTCGCTCAAACACAAGACAGGTCACACGAGGGCATGCAATAAGAAGTTGTATTTATCAAAACAATGTGCTTCCGTTCTTCTTAGTCTCACTGCTGTGGATTATCAGCGGGTGTACATGGCCATGACTGCTCATTCGCTCACACAGGCTTCTGCAGGCTCTCTGGGCCTGCTCCCTGCGCCAGTTCTGGGAGGTGGTGAACGTCAGCCAGAAGCATCCGCTCGAGTACTACGGCCGGCTTCACCAGATGCTGCAGGTTACCGCCACACACCACGAGCGGCAAACGTGCCCGTCAGTCGCTCGTCGCTGGTCTTGTTGAAAGTGAAGACGCAGCGACGTGGTCGAGCTGTAGTACGGCTCATTGCAGAGGGCAGCGGTTGGATCCCAACAGCCGCTCTGGTTCGATCCCAACTGCCACCCTGGTTCAATGCCAACAGCTGCCCTAGTTCAATCCCAACTGCCGCCCTGGTTCGATCCCAACTGCCATCCTGGTTCAATCCCAACTGCCGCCCTGGTTCGATCCCAACTGCCACCCTGGTTCAATGCCAAAAGCTGCCCTGGTTCGATCCTAACTGCCATCCTGGTTCAATCCCAACTGCCACCCTGGTTCAATCCCAACTGCCGCCCTGGTTCGATCCCACCTCACCCCATGCTCACGGACAGAGGGGGAGGTTGGGCCGTGGTGGGGAGGGGGGCTAGGGAAGGATGAACGTGGTGGAGGGGTGGGTCGGTTATGGGGCTTTCGGTGAGGGCAGCCCCTTCATGGAACTCTGCCGGTAGTTTGAATTACATTTTCGGTACTTTGGGGTAATTAGGAGGACCGTGTCTTTGGAAACCCCGGTGTGCTTATGTAACGAACATTACGAAAATATGGACTTAAGAGCAACAGTGAAGTCAAAATAACTAAAACAAGAGTAAAACCCTACAGGCTAAGTCGTGTCGTTCTGATGAAATGAGAACATGATGGGTGCGGATGAGGTGAATGCACCAGGTGAGGAGAATTGCAGAGCCGGGGTATGACTGCCCAATCAAAGATGGCGTGGGAAAGGTATAGATCAAAGCCAAACAATGCCAACCACAAAAAAAACAGTTGTACAAAACAATGTTGGCAGTGATAGAAATTAAACCAGGTCATTCAATTATAAGTGGGCCCATAAATTAACATAGCCTGGCCGCACAGATCGCAAACGACATTACGGTCGCGCACAGGCACTTGGGCGGTGGTCCTGATGAGGCATCGTATTTACACCTCAAACTGTGGGCAGGAGGTGACGTGTCAAGGTAGGCCTCGCCACGTTGTCGCGGTGCAAGTGGACGTGCAGCTTGGCTCGACAGGGGAGCCGGGAGTTAACCCCCCCCCCCCCCCCCCCCCTCGTGAGAAGATGTTGCGGAGAAGGACCGCATCCAACGACAAAGTTCGAATTTGTATTCCTCTCATCTGCGCCGTGGATGTTGTTGAAATTGATCGGCATTAATGTTTCAGGGGTTACATATTTTGTGGATGACCGCACAGGTCAGCACACGTGTGTTGTGTGTGTACAACACGTGCCTTAGGAGTGAACGTAATCTCTCTCGTTGTGTGTGTTCCCACAGGTTTTGTTGGATGTGTTTTATTCTGACTCTCAGGGCCTTTCACTAAACTCCTTGAAAAATGCAGAGTACAAGGTGAGACGCGCGTGCGTGAGTGCGTGCGTTCGTAAAAAATGAATCAAAACAAACCGTCGTGTGCCGTCAGTGAAAAGAATCACGGCCCTTTGTTAATCCATTGCTGGATCGAAACCTCCCTCCACGTCAGGTCGGTCTCGTGGGTTATTTGACCGTATTTCACCACGCTGGTCAGTGCGGGTTGGTGAAAGGTGGAGGGGGCGCCGGACCGGCTCAGCTGTTGCTCGCCACTGATGCTAGCCGTGACCCGGAATTTAACTCAGGTTGCCGAGTTGATAGCGTCGTGCAATAACCACTGCGCAACTACTCAACCTCTGCATGTTAGCGAGCATGGATCTAGCTCAACTTGCTTTAATTGGCAATAATAAACGAATAAAAAATAGATATCCTTCGAAAAAAGTTAGCACAATTCTTTTTGCAAACTGCATTTCTAAAACAATAAAAAAACGGATTATTTAAGGCTGTTGAATATGACATGAGTTTTCTTAAAACAAAATGCAATCTCATTGAATCGATTTGTGTTAATGAACTAAAAATAGTGTTCAGTCAAATTTAATCAAGTGCAAATTTAGAGTTGTTTTTTTACAGAATACTTCAACGTTTTTAGGACTGTATTTTCAAATTAACAAGTTCCTGGTGCTGGCTGATCTGTCAGCATATTGGTCCACTCTGCGCTAACTGTGGCGAGCAGATGGAGCGACGTAAAACAGTCGTGTCACTGCCCCCTCCATGTATAACTGTGGATCCACCGGAGTTTACCTGCTGTCATAAATACTATGAGTGACAACACAGTAGCAGTAGTTTTTAATCGTTTTGGTCATACAGTACGTTAAGCGAGGAATCACTGCGGGCAGTGAATCACATTTGCACTGTACAACAAGCCAGCAATCATCCCAATGGCAGGACAAAGAGCAGTGACGCGCTTAGCAGGTTCATGTTTGCCCCATGTGACACAATTCTGTATGATCATGCATTTGCGGTGGGTATAATCATTTTTTTCTCACGACCTTTCAGTCTCTTGAGAACCAGCTCTATTTGAGGAAGTCCAACACCCTGGAGCTGATTGAAAGATATTACCAGGAGAGGGCCGAGGAGCAGGTTAGTAAACTGTGGCAAATCACAGCAGCGCAAAAAAACACGCACAATCTGCTTCAGAAATTATGAATGTCAGCAAATAACTGTGACTGGACAAATAAGTTGGTTTGAATCATGAATGTATGTCAATGTACGCATGTATTCCCGACTTGAACCGCTGCCTTCACCTCTCCATACTCATGTGCAACACTGTGAGCAGAAATCATTTAAAAAGCGGCAGCTAGTGGCGCCCGTACATGTATGCATCTTGAACTTCTTTCGCACAGTACGTAACCAACTGTGCTAATCAGAGGTGCGGACATTGAGGCGTCCATTAAGGCATCGAGGCCTCTAGTAAGACATTGAGGCCACGAGTAGGCCTACAAGTCGGCAAGTAATCCTCCACGCCACAGCGCTCCAGCAGGCTGGCCCAGCTAGCAGGTCCGGAGTGACCGCGTGAGCTTCCAGCGTTGAGCAGTGTGGACGGACGGGCTGTTTGTGGCGATATGGACACAGGGGAAGCGCAGACGAGCAACTCTCAGTGAGTCAGTGATTCGCCTTTACGCCAATTAAGCCAGCGCGCACTCACTTTTAGACAAGGGCATGTTTGAAAAAATTCTGATGAAATATTTGCAATTGAATGATGCAAGGAACAAAAACCCCGCCGCCAAACTCGGTAAAGCATTTGTGTAAAATAACCCCATGAAGGGTGTTGAACCGGAGTCATACCACATCATGGCTCTTGTCGAGCGCTTCAATTTGTGTCTCGATTTTTCAGCAGCAGGCAGCGGACAGCGCCGGGAACGGGCACGGGAAGTTGAAGACCGGCTGCTCGTACGACGACAAGAGTCAGATGCTCACCGTGGACCTGACGGACGCGTTGGCCAACGCCCCGTCGTGGGCCAATGGTAACTAACGCCTTTCAAACCCCCTGAGCGACCAATTCTCATTTTAATGACGAAGATCATCCTGAAGTGTCTTGCGGTGGCTTTGGAAAGCCCTCATCCAATGGCGGTTTCAATGAGACACGTAATTTAGCAGGGGAAAACAATATTTGTACAAGGGGGATAAAAATACTGGGGGCCGAAATTTTATCTGGGGCTGTCCAGGACCTCGGCTCCAGAAAATATTTCCCTCCTGAGAAGCGAGGACTGAGGTGCTTGCGGTTGGGTGAGGGGCTCCCTCAAATATTGCTTGAGAAATTAAGCCTTTAGAGAATGCTGATGAGCTGGAAAAAGAATTAACCTTCGAGGCAGTGGAAAGGGCGGGAAACCTGCCAAAGCGGCCGTGCGTGGTATATCCCTGCTGAGGTGCCGAACGTACCTGCGATGTTGAAATACGTACAATTTCTCAATTCAACGAAAGAAACGTCATAACTCTATAATACCTTCAATCGTGCCATTTGTGCCTGGCCGCTTGCTGTTTGGTCCTCCGAACAGGGACTGTGATATAAAACGTTTGTCATCAGTGCTTCACTTCAGCCCGAACACTCAGGAATGCTATATACTTAGCTCTTTCGGTAAAGTCACGTTGAAGAGAAACAATAAAATAATAAAATATATAATAAATAAAAAATATGATAACATATATATTTCATTATTTTATTGTTTCTCTTCAACGTGACTTTACCGAAAGAGCTAAGAATATAAATTACTGCAGTCACGAAAGCTTTAAATCTATACTCAGGAATGCTGTTTTTGGAATTATTTTATTTTAGCACACTGCATCCATCTCACCTTACTTTGTCCTCATTGTATTCTCTATATTCCTATAAAATGTTCATAGGATTACAGTATAGAATATAGGATACATTCATATAGGATTATTATGGTACTCTAGTAGTGGTAGTGGATTACACCGGCAATCCAAAAAAACATTGAGTAAGGGATTAATTCCTGGTCATAGTGGAGAGAGAACGTTGTTGAATGTAACTTGCAGTGATTGCATTGGTGGGTTGCATAGTGGGCTTTAACTGGTAAAATAAACGTTGCTTTGTTTCTGTGATTTGCTTACCTTTCCTATACTTTGCACTCCTGTCGTTGCGTTTGCATTGTTTTTTTTCTGACCGGCCCCTACTGGACATCTCTCGAAAAAGAGAGCTTCACAGCCCATCGGATTCCTCTCGTTACGAATAGAGATTCTGATGATTCTGGTTCCGCTTTACAGGTGGGCTGCCCTCGCTGCTCTGCTGGCCTGGCAAGAGCAGCGTGAAGCACTACGTGAAGGTGCTGCTGTGCCCCCGCCACATCTTCCCGCACGCGCACCCACGCAGGACCCAGCGCAAGATGCACACGTCTCCGATCCAGTTCGAAGAGAGTTTCAAACTGTGAGTGCCCACACATCTCGGCTGTGTTTTTTTTAATTATTATTATTAAGGGGCCGTCCATAAATGACGTCACGCACCTGGGGGTGGGGGGGTGGGGTCAGACATTTGTGACGATGTGTGACGGGGGGGGTGAGAAATGTGGCGTCATATAAAAATGCGCAACTTTAAATAAATATAGACAAAACGTTCTACTTAGTTAAATAGACTTTTTAATAAATGTTTTCTCCTACAACATCAGAGTGCAGCGCCACATTAAATACGCACTACAATGACAATAGTTTAAAGCGATTTGAAGCATCTTTTATTTTTTGGGGGGTGGGGGGGGGCAGAGCTTTGTGACGTCATATTTGAGGGGGGGGTCTGACTTTTTGTGACGCCGTGTGACGAGGGGGGGGTCAAAAATCGTTAAAAATCGCGTGACGTCATTTATGGACGGCCCCTAAGTCAAAAATATTTGTCTTTTGTTGTTGCTAAACTGAGCTTTGAACTCGTTACACAAAGTGATGCCACAGATGAACCACGATACCTCGCTGATCTCGTCAAAGATCAGGCAAACTCCGGTCATCCTCACAGCAGCAGCAGCGGCTTTTGGCTGGCCATCGACCAAAAAGACGGTCACCGCATCGCGTGCTTTCAGATGCGCTTCTGCGGCCGTCTGGAACGCTCTTCCTTCCAATACACTGCAGCTATGCGCTTTTAAATCTAGATCTAAAACTAATTTCTTTCAAACTGCTTTATGTGTTTAGTTTGTTGTCCTTCCCCCCACACGGTTGGCTATGTACGATGCTAAAGAAGTTCAACGTACATACATTTACAGCCCTCGGCCAGTGGTGGTCATTCCACATTCCTGTGATGGGGGTGAGTCCATCCGTAGAACAATGCGCAGTCAACTTCCGAAAGGCATTTGCTTTTCAGAGCTAGCAAATCTCTGCTCTCCCCTGGCCAGGACTAGAGTGAGCTTGTTCAAACAGCACCGTTTCAACATGCCACACATAACAGTGTAGATTATCATTTGTGCTTGCACAACCCCACCTCACGTATTCTCCTTTCATCCTCAAGCGGTAACTATTGAAGTTGCTTCCTGCGTGTGCTTTGCCAAACTTACAGGCTACCTGTCCATTTCGTCATTTTGATGATGATGATGATGCTGCTGCTGCTGATGATGATGTTGGGCTGTAGCTTCCCACTGCTGGGCAAAGGGACTCCCCTATTTTCTTCCTTCCTTCCATTCGTGATGTTCGTGATGTTTGCAATCTCCATCGCTCTGGTGGTGGTATTCAGACGATACGGTGACGGAGCAGAGTCCACTCACACCAACACTACTTTTTTACAAACATGCCACACAGTGCCCCATGGATGAGCATGATTGGCTAAGTATGGTACAAAAGAAGTTAAACTTAAATTTTGATTTAAAACTTTCGTGACTGCAGGAATTCATATTCTTAGCTCTTTCGGTAAAGCCACATTGAAGGGAAACAATAAAATAATATAATGTATATAAAACAATAAAAATTCTCACGACGTTTCGACCATAACACAAACGGTCGTCATCAGGTGTTATGGTCGAAACGTCGTGATAATTTTTATTGTTTTATATATATTTTATTATTTTATTGTTTCCCTTCAACGTGACTTTACCGAAAGCGCTAAGAATAAGTTAAACTTACATACCTGAAAAATTCCTATTCGTAAAACATTTAAACTTGACATTCAATATTCTAATATTCAGACCAAATTCTTCTTTGACGATAACCTCAACTTCCTCATTGCATCTACAACACATTCCTGCTACATTTTTTACAAACTTCCCCAAGTTGCTTACTCCGTCCTGCTGTGACTTTCATAGCTTACTCGGCATGCACCTGTTTTCAGAGGCCTCAAACGTATTTGTAAACTCCAGACTTAACCCTTCCTTCTCTCCTCTGCCGAAGATCAGTCGCAACCCTAATGACACTCTCCTTAATTCACCTCACCTCTTTGTCCTTCCAGCTTAATCCCTAATCCATTTCTACCTCATGTTACACAAGTTAAAAGAGGTGCTGTGTTGATCCTAAACATAATAGAGTCTTCATTTGTCCCAGTTTCCATACTACCCGGTTTATAAGATGCACTTTTTTCCCCTCTGTATTTTAAAGCAAGAGTTGGGGGTGGTGCGTCTTATCATCCAGTAGGTGTGCGCACGTGACCAGATTCGTAGAACTTTGACACGGAGGCGCGGGTTTTGCGGTGCGTATTACCCTCCGGAGCGTCATATAATCTGGAGAATACGGTGACCCAGAACTAACACGGGGGCGATCGCTTTGCCTGTGCAGAAACGTGACGATGGAGCAAGCGCGAGCACCCGGGGCCTGCCTGGTGCTGCGTCTGAAGGCCCAGTGCGGCCTTCACAAGGGCCTGCTAGGCGAGGCTGTCCTTGGCTTGCGCAGCGTCGCCGGCCTGGAGGCTCCAGCTCCCGAGAGTCTGCATTCCGCACGCAGCCAGCTCCTGCTGCCCCTCCTGCGCCCAAAGACGCAAGGCAAGAGCCAATCCAGCGCCACTGCAGCCGTGCCAATCTGGAGACCCATTTAGAATAACAGTAGGAATATATCAAGGGAAATGCTGCACTAGACCTGCCAAAAACAACTTGAGATCAAATAGTTGTTTGTAATACCAACTCAATTTGTTCATGAGTTGAATGAACCAATGAGACACATTTCACCATTAAAAAGGTGAACAGTAAGCAGACAGCGTGCATTATAAGCAGAGAATGGAAATGGAAAAGTATGTGTGCATCTTTGAAGGTGTTATCATCGCCGCCTGATTTGCGGGCAATACTATCTTGAAGACCCTGACATTTCAATGATAGAAAATGTATATGAAAACTATAGAAAATAAGCAGAGCCCAAGAAGCAAGATTTTCTTGATATCTTTGGCGTAAAAGTCCAGTGAGATGTGTTTAAGGCACCAATGCCCACCTCTTTACAGATGATGGGATCGTGGGTACAGCATGATTATGCTACTGCGTAGGGTTTTGCAGTTGTGCTGTGTGGCTCTTCGCTTGTGTGTCTGGGTTGTACCGAAATGTTGCTTGGCACGATGTCCAACATTTCGCTTCTTATTAAACTGAATTACTCTCCCTCTGTACTGAACTTTTAGTGGCCATATCCTTAGTCACTGCTAGGCTTGGACTTGGCCTCTTAACACAGCTCAGCGAACACTTGAGCCGCATGTGTGGCTTAGCCATAGCTTGGCTAAGGCTCGGCTCATGGACATCCTGAGGAAGGCTGAGACCATGTATGTATGTTAAATTTCTTTCGCACTGTACGTAGCCAACCGTGCTAATCGGAGGTGCTCACGGTCAGCTTTAGTTAAACATAGCTTTAAGTCAGAAGCCAGCCTGAGCTGAGCCAGGAATGAACTGAACTGTTCTTGAAGAAACTCCCAGCACGTGGAGCAAAAACTTATACGTTACAGACCAATTCAGGCCTTATTGGTCATCCCTTGCCGTTAGAAATCTCAACGTTCATCCTACAAAGTCCCTTCACAAGGGAGAAACACAAACAAATACACCAAAAATAAATGTGCCCGTATTGAAATGGCTGTACGCCGTATGGACTTGAAAACTCAATTTCCCTGTAGAAGAATACGGGGTAAACCATATGGGTTGACACGGTATGAGAACGGATCGTCGTGTTTTTGTTGTCGTGTGCACAGAAGCGGATGAACCTGTTAGGTGCAAAACCCAGTGAGCAATGGAGGGTATTTTTTTTAAAGGACATTTTTTTACCTCAGGAATTTCCTACATTGTCATGAGAATGCACACATAATTCAAATTCAGAATGTCCCACCATTCGATATTTAACTTTAGATGCATTTGTTGCATTTAGAAATATACATTTTCTCGCTCCACATGCTGGAAGCATCTCCAGCAATTGAATGCACAGTACTGCTGGGAATTCTGAAGGCGTTTCCAGAATGTGGGGGCGGACATATAGGCGTTATGGCCTGAAAACACAGCGGATAGCGACGCTTGATTATGGCTCGTAGCGGCTGAGATGAACACAGTTCTCTAACAGGGCTCCAACCGCCATTAACCATCACCACGTGTCAAAGTCTGCACTCCACCCTGTATGCTATGGGAACAGAAACCTTTCAAAAGCGACCGAGCCACAAATGATAGCCCAACGAAGTAGCTTTATCAACATGTCGAAATCTATAGCAGCCGAATACTCTAAACGCACGTTTCTAAATGTGGAGGGAAAACCCGGAGGACATGGAGAAAAATCCACGCGACTATGGGCAGACAGTGCATGCAAACTCCATATATACAGGCGTCAGGGTTGGGATCAAACCTACGACTTCCTGCATGCCGGGCAAGGTAGTTAACATCTCGCCACCACGGAGGCCATGTGATGTGACTGCTGTTTAGGTGCTTACGGTACTGTGTGCACGTGTGTATACCATTACAGAGAGCGACGCCGTGAAGTTCCTGCAAAGAAGATGCTCTGAGAAGGAAGGTAAACAGTTTCTGAAAAAGCTCCGGAAGGCGGAGAAGAGAATACTCTTCTCAACAGAGGACCTGTAGAGGCAACTTGAGAACGTTACAACGTTGGACGAGGTGTTTTGTGTACAATTGTTATTGTAATTATTTGCGCAGGAGTTGACGTGAAAAAAAATATATATAATACTGCTTGAGTAGACAAATATTGATGTGAATTAAAGAGCGTCGGTTCCTTTTCTTCACAACAGATTTGTTCGCAGCACTGTTCTTAAATAGTTTCCAACACACGGACGGACCCGAGAGCATGCTCATTGAGGTGTTTCAGAAGCTCCAAACTCATCGTTCAAGCTGGGCTCAGGATTACTTTGTGTGTTCGCATTGAGCATGAGTGTCATTTCCACGAGTTAACTTGGGGTTAACAATGTAATGCCCCCAAAAATGCACGGGAACTAGATTGTTATCACATTTCACACGGTGAGGATGTAATCGCAGGAACTCACATTGTCACCAAAATGCACTAGGAATTGATAGCTCTACAAATGTAAACATCTTACAGGTTGATTTTAACGATTGATTAAACGAATTGTTTATGTAACGATACGGGTTTCAGGACCCATAAGAAAGAATATTTTTTTAAAAATCATCCAAAAAAAGTTATTATGAGTGAGATGTTTCTTAAAATTCAAACCGGAAAATGTGAACTAGTAAGTTAGAAATTGAAAACTGTACAAGTTATTTTTATTTGTATTACTTTCGTTAAGCATGCATGTATCAAAACATCTACGCAATAATAATTATCTATTAATGAAAATTGATATCCCAATGTTCCATTTATGCTAATGAAGTAACACAAGCTGTACAAGTAAGACAATAAGACAAGAGATTGCACACTTTAAATGGTGAAAACGAGACAAACAATTGATTACTAATTATTTCAATATGATATCGTACATTGCACCGTAATCTGGATCAGGATGAATTAAAAAAAGACCAGAATTAAGTTAAAAACAACTCCGCATTTGCTTTCTTAGTGGTAGCTAAATATATCGTAGTGCAAAAATCAAAGCTTTGGATCACATTGTAGGAATTTTTCCACATTCCGTACCATGATTCACCTCCGCTACGTTCACCAATCTGAACTCTTCAAATGGAAATTGAGAGAGGTGGTAGCTTGGGCAGGCCTTCATCCAGCGGTGGATCGACCATGACTGCTGCCGCTTTGTGGCTTATGACTGCTAAACATCGTCCCATGTAAAGATTATAAAACAACGCATTACATATGAAACACAAGAATAGATTTTAACCTTTCTGGCAATAAAACAGATACCAAGATGTTCAAACACCAAATATAAACCTTTTGCAAGGAATCAAGTCTGCATTAACCACACACAGTACTTGTGGTGAATTACATAACTGACAACTGACATATTCAATTTATTGTTTTATATTTTTATTATTTTATTGTTTCCCTTCTACGTGACTTTACCGAAAGAACCAAGAATATTAATCCTTGCAGTCACGAGAGCTTTAAATCAAAATTTGACAACTGACACTTACGTAATTGATTTTTTGGCAGTCCAAAACAATTACCTTCAAATTAACTTAATTGGTATTATGCATCGCACTATCGTCCCACTGCTGTGAAAAAGGGACCCTGAAAAAGGGACCTGAAAAAGAAAGACTCGATGTGCCTCACTCAGGCCTTCTTGGGTGGACAAACATTGTCGTCGTAGTAAATGATAATAATCGCTCCTCCGATTGTATCATGGTTGGCTATGTACGGTCCGAAAGAAACTTCAACATACAACGACAATCGCCATTCGCCACTAAGTGGCGGTGACGTCACCACGGCGCTTGTGCCAGGCTACGTGCACTTTAAGGCGACGTGAAGTGTCGGAACTCCTGCTGGCAGGAGAACATGGGGACAGACCCGGGTGCCATGGGTTGACTGAGATGACTGGCATACATTTACATACAATAACGGGAGAGGCGTGCAACACGTATTGATATATAACGACACAAAAACAAGCTCCCTTAAAAACTTGTAAGTAAGGTCTACAACACCTGTACTTTCACAGGACGCCCGTGTAATAGAGCCTAACAGCTTATTGGGCCATTCCTGCTGAAATAAATCAAATCTATCGGTCTAAAAACGCAGTGTTTCGCAGCGTGTAAATTGGGCTGCCACCTTAACGCTTCGCTATATCACGGTTTGTGTGATGGACTTCATTTGTGACTCGTGAATGTCAAGCGATGGATCGTGTTGTGAAGAGTACAATATCCCGTATCATGTTCCAACGAGCTAGCCACCGCCTACAACAACAACAATACCAAAACCGTTCATTATTTCACCCGTAAAGCGGCCTGCTAGGTGGAGACATTTTAAAGGCTAATAAAGTGTATAAACAACTCGGATTTATGTACATAGTATTTGTTATATTTCGTAAAGCATTTGTGAAGGATGTACATAACATTACGAATACTATTTTTTGATAAAATGTATAATTGTATGTTACATTAATATAAAGTATCTTTATATAGTACAGCACTGATGTAGTAGCGCATATTCGCTGCATGACGCTTAGGTAATGAAGAGAAGGTTTTTTGGGGGGGTTTTCTTTTTGAAAGTCCAGTGTTTTTGGTGTGGTTTGAATAAATTAATGTAATAAGGTGAATGTGTCAATAACGAGTGTGATTTAATGTTCATATTCTCGCTCCTGAGTATACCCCAATTTGGGGTCTAGTCTAGTCACAGAGGAGTTGTATAGTCGCAGTTTGCACCGATATGCAGTGACGGATTAAGCTAGTGCGGGGCCTGTAGCATATGTTATAAAGGGGCCCTAAATAAAATAAAAACACACATTTAAAAAAAAACTAATTGTTTACTTGTATAGTAAAGTAATTGTATTTTTTTACATGCCATACAGCCAGATAATACGACAAATCGCTAACCTTAAACACCCAGTCGTTCATAAAAGGTGAAGGCAGTATAGTACTATAGTAATAGAGCAAGTGCAGAATCACTGAACCGGAATTGACAGCTTGCAATCATTTAGCACGGGGCCCTTGAAAGTACGGGGCCCATGGCACGTGATACTTTTGCTACTAGGGTAATCCGGCACTGCCCATATGACATGGGGCCAGAAATCGCCCCGATATTAAAAACAACACACACACACCCACCCGTCGTCAGGGCATTCACAAGCCATTCATTCAAGTGAGCCTGACTTCTGCCGAATAAACAATGAATGTTGAAACCATATCTTGCTATTAAAACATCTGGCAGTTCACCAGCATAGATTCAGGTGAGTCTGACTGCTGATGAGACAGTGAATGTTGAAAGCAGCCCTTTCATATACACATCTAACAGTACAGCATTGATTCAAGCAAACTTGACTGCTGATGAGACACCGAATGCTGAAAGCGCTTCCAGAATTTGCTTGTGTTGATCCATTGCTGCTGATCTAATGCACTGCCAAGAGGCTAGGTTAGAATGTGTATGTGGTGCGGCTGTAAACATCAGCACTGGGAAGACAGAGGTGGTCAGGCATGGTGTTGGTCACCCCTTCCGCTTATGTGCCCTGCGCGCGCTGGCCCCAGAAATCTGTTAAAGGTTATTCAGGGTATCTTGGGTTTTTTTTAAATCTGTATCTGCGTTCGTACGAATCGTATTCTCTATGTAATAGCATCACAGTTTGTGGGTGCTGTCATTTCAGATTCGAATTTTTGGGGTAAATCAGTCCATGTTTTGGTGGTTCGCGTGAACTTCTCCCGAGAAACAGATTTATTTGGTGGGTGAGGAATGTGAAGTTGACCCTATTGGTTGAGATGAATGACACGGAATGTGAGGATGAGGTGGTGAGTGACAGGGAGAGAAGGGGGGGGGGGATAAGTGCACAGGAGGCCGTTAGTGAAACTCGCGCAGAGCGGTGCCGCACGACTGCTCGCAACCGGCTTCTTGGCTCTGGCTCTAACAGGTGGGGTCGCCCGCAGTGACACGCGTTGCGGGTGCCATAGCCTTCATTTCTCTGCCCGTTTAGGAAAGCCTCGAGATTCATTGAGGGAGAATAAAGTCTTCCCTGCGTGAAAACAGTCAAGGCTGAGCGTGTCTGCTCGCCTACAAAGTCACATCACAAGAGATAAACATAAACAAATAGACAAATTAAATTACCCGTATTCAAACAGCCGTACGCTATATAGACCTGAAAACTCAATTTCCCTGTACAAGAATACGGGTAAACCATATGGGTTAACAGGCATGGATTAAATTATCACGGTTGGCTACGTACGGTGCAGAAGAAGTTCAACATGCACGCATAAGCCGGCAACTTCTCCAATCTCCCCAGTCTGTATGCACCCCTCCATCTCTCCCTATGCCCTCACAGAGGCTGCCCGAGCAGGGCCAAAGAAGCCTTGCCCCCTGCCTCAGGGACACTTCAAGAAACCTGAGCATTTTAATCAAACGAATTATTTGGTGATTCTGCTGCATTACCAGCGGTGCAGATGCGCAAATAACCAAAATAAATCTCGACACATTTGTTAATGTAACACTGGACTTGAAAGGAAAATTAGAATAAGTGACGTTTCAGGCAATGGCCCTTCTTGATAGGACGTATATGAATGTGAATAGAGTTACGTGAGCTTAAAAAAAAGAACTGAATTGTGTCAGGAAACACTGCAAGAGACTCAATCCTCTTGCAGTCCGTGAGTCCAGGACCATATTTGTCTCGTGTCAATACCACATGGGGTGACAGAACTTCAGTGAATTTAACACGTAGGCTTTCACGACGGGTGGTGGTAGGTTAATGGCACATATTTACTCGATTGAACCCAAAAAAAACTTTAACTTCTATATAAATAAAGACCTGAATCTGTACGTCTCAAAAAGCTCTGGAGTAATTGCCCACAAGATAAAAAGCTGAAATTTGGCACATAATTAGCTTTTTGGACACAAACAACAAGACAAATATGAAAATCCGAGATTTTTCATTTAAAAAAACCCCAAATCTCGATTTTAAGTGCCTCATAAACATATTTGTGCATGTCTTTCAGAAACCGTTCAAAATATAAGATTGCGGGGATTATTTTCGTTTCATAGACAGCAAATATAATTAAAGCGAGGACCATTGATCTATCTTTCATTGTTTTTGAGATATTTCGGATTAAAGCGTTTTTTTACACACAAAAACACGCATTTTATTATGTTCAAATCTGAATAATTCGAAAACGGTAAAAGATGAGTTTCCCCTCATAGAGTATTAATTTAATTATTTTTTGTTCTTTCTAAACAATAAAATAATGGAATGTTTACATTGAGCGGTTTCCGATGGGTACGTCTTAAAATACAAGAAGTTGAATCAAGTTGCCAAAAACTTTGGGTTTTTTGCGGAAAAATACATCTTTTTGGAGTAGATATTATTGTCTGATCGTAGATAAAATTGTAAAAAAATCATATCAGGGAAATTATAATATATATTTTTAACTTGCGCCTGGCGAAGACAGGATTTATGAACTAGTTATAACTTCAGTGGTTTAAATGTATTGATGTGACCAATAACAGTGGATTACGTGATCACCATTTTGAACGAGTCAGTTAACAACTCACTTTTAATTTAGGAATAGGTTTTACCCTTTTAACTGGCACAAAAACTGACACCTTTATTCAAGGCATCATGTTTGCAATAACCACAACACAAGCAGTCAAAATGCAAACAAAAAGACAACTCTGATAATAATATGCACTGTCCTTGAATTTGAAGATGCCATAAGGTGTACGCCTTTTGGCGTCTTCTGGTCCAACACCAGTGGAGACTAGGCTCTAAAGAAAGCCGTCTCGGGTGTGGACCAATCAAATTCAAGGACAGTGCATATTATTATCAGAGTTGTCTTTTTGTTTGCATTTTGACTGCTTGTGTTGTGGTTATTGCAAACATGATGCCTTGAATGAAGGTGTCAGTTTTTGTGCCAGTTAAAAGGGTAAAACCTATTCCTATATCTTGTTACTGGCAAAGGAGGTCTCATAATGTAAATCACTTTTAATTAGCAGCGTAAAGACTGCTGCTACTGTGGCCCACATTAACCGCAGGTGGGGGGAGGTTTGGAACTTGCACTACCCTCACAGTAGCTGGGCTCGGCAGATGAGCTGCTGCACTACGTGAGCCCTGAGCAAAGCCTGTGCTATTATTATCGGCCGTGGGTTTTACCCGATACGAACTTTCAAACGTGTAAAAATGTGTTAATGGCACACAGCCAATTGTGCAAAAAGTAATCGGCAACGCCTGCATAAGTGCATTGTGGCCCATTTGTCTCACGTCAGCATCAAAGTAATTCAAGGAAATGTGACCGACTGACGGAAGAAGTGATGCATCGACAGGCAGGACTCCTCAGCACAGCAGTCACCAGTGTTCACTGCTACAAAGTCTCCCTCTGGAAATCATGGATGTGGAGTCCCCACTTCCACGCGATGGGGCCCATGAGCTTGGATAATGTTTAAAATAATCAAATCTGTGAATGAAAAGAAAAACTCAACATAATATAATAATCGTGCAGGCTAGAAAATCAGTAAAATAATATATATATATTTTTTAAACTCTTTTTTTAAACACGACTTTTTAGTGTCATCAAATATTGTAACCAAATTTTATTTGATCCAGCAGTAGATCCATCGTCACATCGTAAACATGAATGTACTGTAGTAATGGAAGAACTCCACGACTCTAGGAAGTGGCCCCGAAGCTTGCCGTAACGTAAGGGACCATGGGAAATTAATTACAGCCAACGTCAGTTGAACGTGGATAATAACACCCAATGGGCCGTCCATAAATGACGTCACGCGATTTTGGACGCTTTTTAACCCCCCCCCCCCTCGTCACACGGCGTCACAAAAAGTCAGACCCCCCCTCGAATATGACGTCACAAAGCTCTGCCCCCCCCCCACCAAAACCATATTTCCATTTTGAAAATAAAACATGCTTCAAATCGCTTTAAACTATTGTCATTGTAGTGCGAATTTAATGTGGCACTGCACTCTGTTGTAGGAAAAAACATTTTTTTTAAAAAGGAGGGGTTGGAAAGCTTAAATGTAGCATAAAATTCACTTGAAAATATTAAACGTCGAACTAAAACTGCAGATGTTCACAATATTATATTGAAATTATCTTATAATTATAAAATATTAAAAGTAATTATAACTATTAAAAGAATGCTTTAAACTTTGTAGAAGAACGAAGCAAAATGGAGAGTACAATTATAACAATCACATATTCATCCCACAGAATGAAAAGCCCTGGTAGAATCATTAGAATCAAAATGTTTAATAACAATAATAATTTAAAAAATGTTCAAGATGTATGTTTCTCCATTCTCCCATAGAGAAGCAAAATGCTCCTTCATGAAATAAATAAAAGGTGACCTTAATTAATTCAAATAATCAAATAGTTAATAATGAAAATTAATCAAAATTAGTGTTGTTATAACAATTCTATATTTTTAGCTCTTTCGGTAAAGTCACGTTGAAGGGAAACAATAAAATAATAAAATATATAAAACAATATATTTATATATTTTATTATTTCCCTTCAAAAGAGCTAAGAATATGAATTACTGCAGTCACGAAAGCTTTAAATCAAAATTCTATATTTATTTAAAGTTACGCATTTTGATGTAACGTCACATT